AAATTTGTCACTTCAGATGCTGGTTCAGAAAATGGGCAGGAGGTCTGGACTTATGTATTCTTAACAAGGCCCCAGGTGCCAAGTTTGGGAACTACTCATATCCAGCCCTGTATCTCAACTACACACAGAGAAATGGAGGCTCAGAAAACTCCTTTGCCTTCCATAGCCCCAGGTGGCTAGAGGCTGAGCGAGAATCCAAAGAAACCAGGTCTCTGGATTCTGGTCTAGTCCTTTTCCATCAAGCCAGACGTTGTGGATGCCATCTCTTCAACCCCTAGCCTGCGGCACAAATCCCCTCTCCAACATGCATGATGAACAGTCCAACAGCTTAAGTATCCCCCATGCAGAAGAATTCAGCATGTGACAAGGACACTCAATCAAGCAGTTCTTATTTAACCAAAATATTGAACAAGAAAAACCCTTAGCCTGGCATACAAGATCCTCTGTAACCTGCTCCCTGCTGGCCTCTCTAGTCTCATTTCCCTCAGAACCTCACTTGAACCCTAACCCCCAGCCAGACCGTAGAGTTATCGTGGGGGATCTCACTTCCATATCTGGCCTACCAGGTCAATGGGTAGTGGGTGGGGAAGGACAAATCAAAGTGTAGAGGTGTGTTCACACCCTGGACCCACACTACAGAGCTCTACAACTCAGGGCTTTGCCAGCGCTAATGAGTATCAAGCATCATACCTCCTCTGTGCCCTGAGAGCCAACCTGAAGCCTATTTTTGAAATGGAGTTTCTGGGACCAGAAATGCATTGTGCAAAACTGCTGGAAGCCACTAAAGTCACCACAGGATCTTACACTCACCTACAAGCACTCTGCTCCCAACTCATCCCCACTTGTACCCCAGCAGAAGGACTGGGCTCACTTCACCCCACAGCTACTACTTGTCCCCACCTCCCTGTGCTCTTTTCTGGCTTTCAAAGCCCTAGAACAGAAAACCCTGCTCCTGTGCACCTGGATCAGACTGTCCATTAACAGTATTCCGTCATAAACCTTGCAAGACCTAGTCATCCTGCAGATTCTCTCACCTTTGGATGCCTATCATGTAATTTAACACAATTATGCACTGTCTGCTGCTTCACAGTGAGAAACCAGGCCATGAGACTATGGGGAGTTGTTTAACCTCCTGAGCTTTGAGTGAAGGAACAGTTTCTTCATTCACCTCTCCTCCACAGGGACCAGGGTGTACAGCAGCTCAGTCAACAGGGAATTCAGTTAGCATTCTATCACTTCAATTACCCCATGGCAATAGGCACCTTGTTGAGCATAGTGCTTATACGAATCAGGAGCCTTTTTCACCTTTAACCCATACACGTCCTGCAGACAACAGCTGCTCAATTAGTATTCGACTGAATAAAGGCACAGCAGTAAGACTCTGGAGTCCGATACTGTGCCCTACTCCCAGCTCCACTACTGGCAGTTCTTAACTGCTCTAACGCTCCTCTTGGGTCCAGCAAGATCTGCTGCTTAGGGTTATTGTACAGGTTAAAGGAGATAAATGTTATAGAGAATCAGAACAGCACTTGCCTTAGTTCCAAAAGTATGACCTATTAAGATGCTGTCTTTTAAGAACCCAAAGTAACTTGCCAGGGAACAAAGAAAGGAAGAGCAAAGCACTGGTAAAAAGCTGACTGCTTGGACACACACAGCTGGCTAAAAATGGAACCTGGGTGCAGCGATAAGCACCCAAGCACCCCAGCATTCACTGGGGACTGGAAAACCACCCCCTTCAGAATCACCTCTAGCTTCTTTTCACCACTCTTCAAAGATCCCTGCTACCCCTCAGAAAGCCACAGCCTCTCACCAGAGCCAAATTGAAGAAAAGGAAGGTGCTCTTAGTTAAGTCAACTGTGCATTTTTACAAAAGCTCTTTGAAAAACTGTTGACAGCAGAGCATGGTCTGGTTACTGTCAGGGCTGACAACGTTGGATCTCTAAGAATCTTCAAGTTCGAGAGCACATACTACCCACAACTTAAAAGTTCCTGGAAGTCCTTCCCTCTTATCACACATTGCTTAGCACTGCAGTTCCCAAACTGTTCTCACAGATGTCACATCATTTGAGCCTCAAAATAGCCTTTTGAGTCAGGTCAGCAGAGCAGGTCCCCCTTCTAATTTAAAGAGAAAGTTAACACATGGGCAACCTCTGTCAGTTGGGAGGTCCAACTCCTGGTTTTGCGCTCAGGTCATGATCTGTTGAGCTCCTCACTCAGCAAGGAGTCTGCTTAAGATTCTCTCCCTCTCCCTTTGCCTCCCGTGCCCCCCCATGCCCCGCCTTGTGCATGCACTCAGTACTCTTCAACTTAACCAGTTAACCTATCAGTTCACCAAGTGACTTGCCCAGACACCCCTGGACTAAATGGAAGGATACTACAGAAGGGAAACAAAACCAGAGAACAGGTAAAGGGTGCAACCTAGCTACAGAGCAAAGGCCGTGCTGGAGGCCAGAGTGGACTTGCCAACTACCATTGCACAGGTAAGTGAAGTGCTGTTGGTGCCTGGGTTTTCAAGAGGCTGGAAATCTATCTTTGCATATAATCTGTCCAGTTTCAAAATGTTGTGCCTGTGAAAGAGCTCACAGACAAGACTAGCAGGGACTTCTGCACTAGTCCAGCCCAGGAAGCTCCTCTAGAAAACCAAGCTGGGCCAGAGTTAGTCTTAACTCCCTTCCCCAGAGGCTCCGCTGGCCGAATGACTGCCAACTCTGCCCTCCCTGAGCACATCCCAACAGAAAAGCTTCATCTTGTGACTATCAACCTTCACCTCCACTCAGGCTCCCAGCAGCTGTGCCCTCTTTATCAGTCTCAGCACCTCATTATGAAAGCTACCCACCCTTCAGTTTGCTTCCACTAGCTGTGCTCCTGAACTTTTCAACCACTGACCGCTGGCTTACTCACCTCTCCCAGCTCCAGTTCACCTGGTGCCCCCTCCCGGGCCAGCCCAGGTGCTCTCCCTTCTCTTCAGCACCTTGCTGCTCACCAGTTCTCCGCTACCTCCCTCTCGCTGCCACAGGAACCCCGTCTCTACATTTGCCACCAGGCACAAATGACCTCTGCACGGCTAGTTTAAAATCCACTACACATCACCTGTTAGCTGTTTTGGTGAAAACTGACACTTGGCATTCCTGAATCCCTCACTCCTTCACTCTCCTGCCAGTACTTATACCCAGGCTTATGCCTTCGACCCAGCAAAGGAACCCACAGGACCATGGGCTCCAAAAAACCCAAAAGCACGGTCTGACCTTAACTCCATGCAGAACAACTATACGCAACATGAGCAGGCCTCAGTCAGCAGGTCCAGCCTAACATCCTTGCCCCTGGGTCTGCAGGTCCTTCTTCAGGAAAGGCCTTTTACCATGTTCTCTGAAACACACCACCATTCCTTCCAGTACCCTTTCATGCCTTCTGCTACCACAATTCTTGCTTCCCAAATCCCTCCGCCTACTCAACCAAGCAGGTCTTTCACTCCTTTACCACCTCCTGAGGTTTCTCTGGTGCTTTCCACCCACTTATAGGGTTCCTAACAATATTTATAAGCTTGAATCCCAGATGGACCCACATAAGGTGCAAACCAATTCTATACCCAACTTCAGAGAAAAATAGCATCCCAAGCCCTTAAGCCATTAGTATCTCTACACCCCATTCCAAATACCCAAGCCCCCCCAACTCCTACACTTCCTACCCTATCACAAAAGGTACCCAACCCTCACAGTAACCCTAAAACAGCTGTTCTTCAAATCTCTTAAGGCCACACAACTGACGGATAACCCACAGCTCAAGTCCTCAATCTTGGACGCCTAAAAAAGCCAAACTCAGAACTGGCATCGGCAAAGAAAAAGTGACACTACATAACCCTCCATGTTTACCAAAAGCATGTACAGATTTACCAAACAATTCTACACTACATCTAAATATTCATTAGCTTCTTTCAAATTCCCTACTCATAACACACCATTCACCCTCAAGCACAAAGCTACAGTGCAGATGATTTTGGCAGATGCTATATACTTCATAAAGTGATGAAAATATGATCTAGTAATTCTCTAATGAGATCAGCAAATAATTTTTCAGTAATAAGAACAATGGTACGGGCTCCCTGCATGGAGCCTGCTTCTCCCTCTGCTTATGTCTCTGTCTCTCTCTCTGTGTGACTATCATAAATAAATAAAAATTTAAAAAAAAAAAGAACAATGGTAGGTTCTAGGAAGACCAAAAGGAATTCAGATTTCAAGTGTGCCTTTCAGAGACTGACCAACTAGACTGATGGCAAATCACACTAGACTGGCCCGATATGTTCTCATGGTACCGATACCCTACACCCACATCTTTGTGCTATTGAAGGGAATGACAATCATACCAAGTTTTTCACTAAAAGCATACTGGAACAGGTGAACTTAGGGGCAGCAATCTAAATCTGCTCTAATAGCAGAGTAATCTCATAACAGTCCCAGTAAACTTCAAATGCATTTCAAACAACCAGACACATTAACGTTCTTAGTTTATTAATCCTCTCATGAAAAAAATCTGCACAATCACCACAGATAAAGCCACTGCAGAATCTTTACTCCTTCTGTGAAACAAAAAAGAAAAATTTAGTTAGTTAACCACTTTTAAAACTCTTAAAAATTTTTAAGTTCAAAATCTTCAGCAAACTCCAAAATTAATCACACTCATGCAGAACAAGTATTATTAACCTAAAATCTGTGATAACACAATGAAAGCATCAAGAAATAAAACTTGCAAACATTCACATTAGAAATAAAACAGTTAAATATTAGTCTTAAAAACAAAACGTCACAATCAGTATTTAAAAAGCCACGAATCTTGAAAGCATTTGTAAATCAACTTCTAAAACTATTTCACATGCAAAGAAAAACACAGAAAAACGAAACCATTTCACATGCTCTAGACTTTTATATTACTGTTATCAGTAAAGCCTAATGATCCACATGAAAAGCTTGAATTATACCTGTTGTCCAATCTCCAGCTCACTGAATCAGTGGCAGGGTAGGGAGAAAGGAGGGAAGAAGGAAAACAAACATTTCATTAATAGTCCCTTTTCAAACTCCAAAATAATCTGCATTTTCATGCATGCAATCAGATACCTTAATAACTTTTCTTTTTAATTGTGTACAGAGCACTCCTTAGACACACTCATTTTTATGCTTCCCAATTCTAAAAACCTCATGTAATCACTATGGTTCTTACGTGTAAACAAAATGGCATGATTTCACAATGAAGAGATCATGCCAACAGCAATGCCATTCCAGGCTGCCACTGCCTACACATACATGAAGTACACATACCTGAGCCTCAGCCTTCCTGCTCTGCTCAGTAACATGATGCTAGGCACATAAGCACCATCAACAGACCTAGGAACCATCCCACAATAGAATCTAATTTTACCTCAAAGAAAAGAGTTCTAAAGGATCAAACAAGTCTTTTAAAACCTGTCTCAGCTCAATACTTTAAAAGCTACTGTTCACTGCCACCAAAAGTAGTGCAAATTAGTTAAAAAGGCAGAACTGGGCTGAAATGAAAATGCTTCATATATTCTTCAAACACAAGACTATTTCCTTAATTTAGGGACACCTGGGTGGCTCAGCAGTTAAGCGTCTGCCTTCAGCCCAGGATGTGATCCTGGAATCCCAGGATCAAGTCCCATATTAGGCTCCCTGCATGGAGCCTGCTTTTCCCTCTATGTCTCTGCCTCTCTCATGAATAAATAAATCTAAAAAAGAGAGAAAAAAAAAAACTATTCTCTAATTTAAAACAACTCTATCGTAGGGGCACCTGGATGGCTGTTAGTTAAGCGTCTATCTTCGGCTCAGATCATGATCCAGGAGCCCTGCATCAGGCTCACTGGCTCAGTGGGGAGTCTGCTCTCTTGTGCTCTCTCCCCTCATCCCAACCAGCGCGCGTGCTCTCTAAGTCTTTAAAAATCTGTACCCAAAAGGTAAGAGCACATACCAATTCCGACATCCAAACAAAAACAATTAAAAGTAACATCAGTGGGCCCCTGGGTGGCTCAGTTGGTTAACCGTCTACCTTCAGCTCAGTTCATGATCCCAGGGTCCTAGGATCCAGTCCCTGCAGTGGCTCCAAGCAGGGTCCTTGCTTATCCCTTTCCTCTTGCTCTTCCCCCACGCTTGTGCATGTATGTGCGCACACACTTTCTAATAACTTTAAGTAATATTAGTAAGCCTGGCTAGTTTGAACCAAAGAACACATACGCTTATTTACACATTCATTTCCCCACCACTTTTCCAGAGCTATACTAGTAAAATGCACCAGTGCAACCTGAAGCAGGGATAGTGATGGCTCAGGTCCCCATGGGGACCCCTTCTGCACGTCACCGCTGAGCACTAACACACGGGGTTCAAAGGCTGAATGAAGACAAGAATGAGTTAAATGTCCTTCAGATCTAGATCAGTCCACCGACTGAATCTTTTTGCAATCTTGGCAACTTCTGTTGATAGTATAAGCCTCAAAACAGGCAACAGTTCTAAGCAGCAAATAGTTCCTCTGGCAGTTCATCCACTGCTCTAACTCCATGGCTGGAAAGACAATGTGGTTAGAGGCCTGGGCAGGTCTACCAGCTTTGCTGCTTGGCAGGGGAGTCACTGTTACAGGAAGCACACAGGGGCAGGGACCAGTGCTTCAAAAACCTACTACCCCAACCCCCTCCAGGCCCACCTCACAAGCCGATTTAAGCTGCTCAAGTGTGCAAAACCGTGTTTAATATGGCATAGTGGACCATTCCAACCAAAAACGTGTGGAAAAAACATATTTATCAAAGGCTTTGATATGAATATACAATTACGTTGGAATTTTTTTCATTAAGAGACAGACATCAGACGAAAAATTAGGAATCCGTAAAAAGCAATGTAACAGTAAAAGGCAGCTTTGAGTCGGTTCCTGAATAAGAGGCTTTGCCAGTTTTCTCAGACCAGTTTATTACCAGAGCTGCCAAAAAATGTTCCAGTCCCAGGGTCCCCAAGGGAAGAAGACTGCTGATGACAAAAATGAGAGGATCCAAGCCCTGTGTTAACTAAAGCTTCCCTGGGTACGAAACTCTGGGACACAGCGTTTCCCAAATACAAGTTCTAAGGTGCCTACTTAGTACCCATCTTCCTCCACCAGGTCACTTTTCAACATGCATTTTTTAGTTTCCAAAACAAATGTAATTAAAACCTTCTCTCCCTTCCTCATAATATACCATTTTAAAACACAGCATTTAAATTAGAGATCATACTATGTAAAATTTTTGTTGTCTGAAAGCCAACATGCAAAAGCATCAAAGCAAACTCAGTGAAGGTGATGCATCCCCACACCGTGCTCACAATCTCAGTACCTGCTAGACACTTCATTTCTGATGAACAAGAAATCCAAGTAGAGGGAAAAGGCAAAAAAAAAAAAAAAAAAAGTTCACAGAACACTTGATTATTTGTTAATTTAACAACCCAACACCTTAATTCCATTCAACTATTATTTACAGTTAGCTAGCAAAGCTGGTAAAAAGCTGCTTATCATTAAAATCACTTGTCTTGGCTAACTGGAGAGGAAAGCAAGTGAGATCTCAGCTGCCTCTCCAGCATGCCAGGAAAACATGGGCCACATTGATTCAACTGCTTCTTAAACCAGTTATCCATTTTATGCAAGTAAATTTAATCTCAGGAAAGTAGACCTGCTTCCCTTTTTACAGTCCAAACCAATCAGCAGTAAAATGGAAACTTCCTGACAGGGCATGCAACGAGCCCACCAGGATCACTGAACCGATGTGGCCCCTGTATTGTGCTGATCTGTGAGCTGACAAAGGGTGGGCAAAGCTAATCTAGTGAAGTGTTAAGATACTACATCATGTAGCGTCTCAAAACACGTTACCTTCTGTAATCCAGAAGAAGTGGGAAAAGAAAAAACATTAAAAAGAGGTTATTAAGGAAATAAATCCCTCCTTTCTAGAAACTAAAGACCAGCAACTGACATCTCTGTATCCTCCTTGATGAACAATACCTTTTTGCCAGCACCAACGTTGGCTTTTGCAGTCCCCCTGACTTTCTTCATTCTGTTTTTACGTTCTTTGCGCTGTTTTCTTGAAGTCTTTTTCTTCTCATACAGGCCATGCTAAAGGAGAAGGGCGTACCTTATTAAGTGACTTGCAAGCATCAATTCAGCATTAACTAATCTGGTAGGGGCTATGACCAAGTCAGGCAGCACCTCCTCAAAAGCTGCAGAGCCCATTATTCAAGTGCTGTACTCTATCTGTACATTTATCAAAGAACCTCCTCAACCTCTCCAAACTCACTCATCCCATTCCCAGCTCCTATCTCCCCAAGTACTACATTATTTGCCCTTCTAGACTCAGCTCAAATGCCACCTCCTCAAAAGCTGCAGAACCCATTATTCAAGTGCTGTGCTCTATGTGTACATTTATCAAAGAACCTCCTCTCTTAACTCCTTTAGTTCCTTAGGTCTGAGGGTCATCCCTCCCCAGACTGCTCACTGTTGCTCATTCCGCTGCACCCACAACACAGTGCTATTGAAAAATTCAATCCCTGGGTGGCTCAGCGGTTTAGTGCCTGCCTTCGGCCCAGGGCATGATCCTGGAGCCCTGGGATAGAGTCCTACATCGGGCTCCCTGCATGCAGCCTGCTTCTCTGCCTCTGTGCATCTCTAGTGAACAAATAAAATCTTTAAAAGAAAAAAAAAAAAGAAAAATTCAGTCTTCAGCAGCTGTTGAACAAACAAGAATACCTACTCTTGCAAGTCTATGTTTGGGTTCATTTTTCTTTGCATAATCCAAGGAATCATAAATCATGCCAAAGCCAGTTGTCTTGCCACCACCAAAATGGGTTCTGAATCCAAATACAAATATGACATCTGGTGTGGTCTTGTACATTTTGGCTAGTTTTTCCCGAATTTCTGTCTTAGGTACTGTTGCTTTCCCGGGGTGAAGAACATCAATGACCTAAAAAGTAGTAACAAATTTTAGTGTTCATTATTTAAAAATGTTTCTTTTAAAGCAAAAAACAATGAAACTCTGATGTACCCTTCCTTACCATCTGTTTCCGCTGAAGCAGTCGGTTGGTCATGAACTTCCTGGTCCGGATAGTTACTGTGTCATTCTGAAAACATACAAAACGCACTAGTTAATAATAGCACTCCCCCTTCCAGGACCCAGCGGAGATCTTCCAAGACCTAGAACTGCCAGTGGGCACCCACTGGCCACATGTGGATGATTCACGTTAAGTCACATTTAATATGCAATTCCACCGGTGCAGGAGCCACATTTCAAATGTGCAAGAGCCACATGAGCTAGTAGTGGCGGGAATACTTTTAATGAAAAGGAAAAAAAAAAAAAAACCACCGAGGGCCTAATTCCTAGGACTCGTGTAGCAGTCAGTACCAAGAGAACCCACCCCACAGCTTTCTGGAATCTTACTTCACTTTGCTATGGGAATCACTTTGAGGCAGGGCTTCTCGATTTCAACACTACTTTGGTCCTGCTAGTTCCCTGTGGGGACTGTCCTGTGCGTTTTAGGATGTTTGGTAGCACCCTGGGTCTCTAACTACTAGAGGCCAGGGGCACCCCCCCCAACTCTCCAGATGTGATTGCAAATGTCTCCAGAGGGGACACCTGGGTGGCTCAGGGGTTGAGCATCTCCCTTCAGCTCAGGTCGTGACCCGGGGGGATCTGGGATCCAGTCCCACAATCGGGCTCCGCGCAGGGCGCTTGCTTCTCCCTCTGCCTGTGTCTCATGAATAAATGTCTCCTTGAGGGACACACACACACACAAAAAGAATTAAAAAAAAAAAAAAAAACCGCCGCCACCACCTTCACACAATAACCGTTTCTGTGGAGTAAAACTCCTTGGACTCGTGCAAACTTCCATCCTCTCAAACGCGCTCGTAACGTGCTGCACAAAAGTGACACACGCCGCCACTACCTGCACGTGAACTGCCCGTCACACCCCACCGGAACCCCCCCCCCGCCTTCTACACAGGTAACCGCCCGGGGAACGTGGGCACGCAGCACGCTTACACTCAGAATAGAAACTTTACCCGAAAGAGAGGCTTTTTTCGTGGCAACGACTGGCTGCTAGATCTCCATGTCGGTTTGGAAAACCGCAGCTGAGGAAGCTGACTGGAACCGCGGTCCTCTCAGGAGAAGGCCGCGGGAGGGGGGGGGGGGGACTCGCACGTAAGGTCGAACCAGGAACCGGCGCGGACGGGGCCCGACCTAAGCCCTCCCAGGACCCCCGTGTCCCCCCCCCCACAAGACGTCCCATCCGGCGGACGAGGCCTTAGCACACGCAAACGGGCTCCGCTTCCCCGGCCGGGCGGCCATCCCCCCCGCCACGCCGCCTCTCCCGCCCCACCCGCGCGGCTCGGCGACGCCGACGAACGCGGCGGGCGCTCCCGCAGTCCCCGGGCCCCGGCCTCCGAAGCCCAGCGCGTCTGGGGCGGCGGCGCAGCCTGGACTCCCCGCCGACGGCTCCGGGGCTCCCGGCGACCAGCGTCCGTCAGACACAGCCGGAAACGGGCGACGGGGCTTCGGGCGGCCGTGGCAGCCACGGCAGGACCCGGGGACCAAGGATGGCTCGGATCCCCTCCGGATGGTGGCACGGGTCTGTGGAGACTCACCATGATGGCGGCCGAGCTTCAAGCAGCCGGGGAGGAAAAGAGAGCCGCTTGGCGCCGTCCAATCATATCAATGCGTACGGAAGGACCCCGAGCGTCGCCGGCGTGGGGGCGTGGCCAGGCCCGCGGGGGTGGCCCCGCCGGTGCCGTATTAAAAGTGCCCGAGGCCCGCCCCCTGGCTCTTCGGCCGACTTGACCGACGCAAGCGCATCTTCAATTTTAGTTTGATGCATGGTCTTGGATTTACGGTACCGGGAATCACGGTGAAGCGAACTGCCGCTTAAATCGTCTCAGTGCGAGTGAAACGGTTCGTAAAGCTGGAGGCCGTCGCGGGAGATCCTGGCGCCCAGCGTCCTCTTGTTCTAGCGCAGGAAACTGCGGGAACCCAGCTCAGAACTTGGTGGTTTCAAATACCCGAAGACGGACCCTTTTAGCTCATTTCTAAGTGTCGTTTTTCTGAGATTCTCCAGGGATTTTTCTGGATTGAAAATAAACTCAAAGAAAAGAAAAAAACTCTGTGCTTTTCTGAAAAATCTTAGGCCTTAAAACCAAAAAAAAAAAAAAAAAAAAGACCTTTTTTTTCTGTTTGCTCCATGAATTTGTTAGTTGTTTAAAGGGACGTGGTCATACAGAAATAAAGAACATACCTGCGTGTTCAAAAAGGGACATCAGGAGGGCACCTGGGGGGCTCAGTGGCTGAGCATCTGCTCTCAGCTCAGGTCGTGACCCCCGGGTCAGAGGATCGAGTCCCGCATCGGGCTCCCAGCACGGAGCCTGCTTCTCCCTCTGCCTGTGTCTCTGCCTCTCTCTATCTGTGTGTGTGTGTGTGTGTGTGTGTGTGTGTGTGTGTGTGTGTCAGGAATAAATAAAATTTAAAGATCTTTAAAAAAGAGAGAGAGATACACTAGGAAAAGGACTTTCTAAAGGTCAGTGTGGACGAGGAGACGAGGGTACCGGCTTTGAGGACAGCTTTCCTACATTTTTCAGAATAGTAACAGTTAATATTCATTTCGTGACTGCTATACGCCTATTAATGGCCTTCACATTCATTTGGGCCATTTGACCTTCCCTCCAACAATAAGAAGTAGGGTACTTATTAGACACCCCCTTTTATGACTTGGAGGTAGCTAAGACCCAGGGAGGCTAAATACCCTTCCCAAAGTCACCCAACTTTTAGGTGGTGGCACCCAGGGAGGGCATGGTTGTTCCAGAACTTTTGTTTTTGATCTCTGCATGATAAAAATCACTCATCAAATCTTGTTAGCCTAGTACGGTCTATGTTATTCCAACCGGATTTTAAGGGATGAACTGCTGAAATGAGTAAAGTCAGATTTGCTTTGCTTTTTTGTGTTTGCTACATTTGTGTTTTTGCTAGTGAGGATCCATGGAGTCTGAACAGCATCCTCCCCACTTTTTTTTTTTAAGATTTTATTTATTTATTCACGAGAGACAGAGAGAGGGAGAGAGAGGCAGAGACACAGGCAGAGGGAGAAGCAGGCTGCATGCAGGGAGCAGGACAGGGGACTAGGAGCAACCCCTGGGCCCAAAGCAGGCACTAAACCACTAGGCCACCAGGGCTGCCCATCCCCCCCCCGTTTTTTAAGATTTTTTTTTTTTTTTAATTTTTAAATTCATGAGAGAGAGACATAGGCAGAAGAAGAAGCAGGCTTCCTGCGGGAGCCCAATGCAGGACTCGATCCCAGGATCCCCAAAACTCGACCTGAGCCATCCAGGTGTCCCTGAATATCATTCCTTCTTTTTTTTTTTTAGCATTCCTTCTTAAAACAAAAAAGGGGGCTCCTGAGTGGCTCAGTTGGTTAAGCAGGTTAAGTATCTGCCTTCAGCTCAGATCATGATCCCGGGGTCCTGAGACCGAGCTCTGCATCAGGCTCCCTGCTCGGCGGAGAGCCTGCATCTTCCTCTCCCTATGCCTGCCACCCCCCCTGCTTGTATGCTCTCTGTGTGAAAAAGGTAAATAAAATCTTTTTAAAAAATTATTAAAACAAAGGTGTTGAATCACTTGGTTGGGTTGTATCTGGAGTTTCTTGCAAATAGTCAAGGTGTTTCAGGCTTGGGCAGCCCAGGTGGCTCAGCGGTTTAGCACCATGGCCTTCAGCCCAGGGCGTGATCCTGGAGACCTGGGATCCAGTCCTGCATTGGGCTCCCTGCATGGAGCCTGCTTCTCCCTCTGCCTGGGTCTCTGCCTCTCTCTGTATCTCTCATGAATAAATAAATAAAATCTAGAAAAAAAAAAAAGAAGTTTCAGGCTCTGCAGCACTAAATCCTACAGTGGTGGTTTCCTTGGCAGTCCCATGTGCTGAGATGTCACACTAGGATCCCCTCCCACAGGCTGGCACAGACTATGGGCAAGCAGTGTGTTTCCTCAGTTCATAAATGATCTTTAGTTCCTGTTTTCCCCTCATCTTGTTTCCTTTGCTCACCAGGACTAACTTCTCATCGATTTATAACTTATGTTTTTATAAATAATATAGTTAAAGTTTAGGTGAACCTGGGTGGCTCAGTGGCTCAGTGGGCCTTTGGCTCAGGGCATGATCCCAGGGTCCTGGGATTGAGTCCCATATTAACGGCCTATGTCTCTGCCTCTCTCTGTGTCTCTCATAAATAAATAAAATAATAATAATAATAATAATAAGTGCAATTCATTTCTTTTTCAAAGTAACTTTGGAAACTGGAGTTTCACACACAGCCCTGTTTTCCGACCTATTTCTTTCCTTTGGTGGCTGTCCAGTTGGTACCTCTGCTCCCTGGGCGGACTCATTTTAGCCTCCACTTTTAATTAAAAACTTAAAGGATCTTGGGATCCCTGGGTGACTCAATGGTTTAGTGCTGCCTTCAGCCCAGGGGCTGGTCCTGGAGACCAAGATCGAGTCCCACATCAGGCTCCCTGCGTGGATAATAATAAATAAATAATAAATAATAAATATAAATATATAAATACATAAAAACATATAAATATATAAGTATAAAATATATAAATAAATAATAAGTAAATAAATATAAGTAAAATAAATAAATATAAAATAAATAAAATCTTAAAAAACATTTAAAGGATCTTAACGAAGATGGTACCGATGTTGATAATGACGATTTTCCATTTTATGCAGTTTTCGCCTGTCGGCCTCAACGTTCTGCGGGAGCTGTTGCAATGTCTCGGCATGGATCAGACGGCCGGAAAAATCGGACTGGGAATGGACTTTTTTGAAATGCCAGCCAGCCGACGCCCTGGTGCAGTTTCAGGAAGTGCCGCCAGATGGCAGTGCAGGAGGAGGGCACAGAGCCGCCCGTCGGAGGCCTCTCTTGACTGACAGGCGCGCCGCGCGGGTAGCGGAAGCGGAAGCAGAAGCGGAAGCGACCACGTGGGGCGCGCTGGACGGCGGCCGACGCGGTGCCTCCGCGGAGCGAGCTCCTCGGGGCGGCGCGGGGGCGGCGTCTCTGCAGCCTGGCTCCCGCGTCCCGGGGAGGGGGCCCGGCGGCCGTCACCATGGTGAAGGAACAGTTCCGAGAGACGGACGTGGCCAAGAAAATGTGAGGAGCAGCAAGAACGGCCAAAGGGCGGAGAAGGGGGGGGCGGGGGGGGGCCGCGATGGGGCGCAGGTGGAGCGGGGCGGGCGGCGAGGCCTCCGCAGCCCGCGCGGGGACCTCTCGGCGACCCGGGCCGCGGCGCGGAGGGAGTGGGGCGCGGGCGCGGGCGCGGGCTGGCGGGGGGCGGCGCGGGGCGGCGCGGGGCGGCGCGGGGCGCGGAGGCGCCACCCGCCGACCTGAGAGCATGGCCCGCGGGAAGCTGTTCCCGGTGTCGGGAGCAGCCTCGGGACCGAGGAGTCTCCACGGGGGGGAAGCGACCCCCCCCCTTCTCGCAGCCGACGCCTCGGAGGGGGCGTCGCGTCCTGGCGGTCGGGCGGGAGGCGGAGGCGGACAGGCCGGCGCAGGCAGGCACAGGCAGGCGCGGGACGACGGGGAGCGGGGGCTCGTGCGGGGGCTCGGGCGGGGCTCGTGCGGGGGCTCGTGCGGCGGCGCGGAGGGCGCCGAACCCGCAAGACTTGAAGCAGAGGAATGCCGACCCGCAGGGGCAGGGACATCCGGAGCTCGGCTGCGGCACCGGCTGAAGCGTCCCAAGTGGGGGAATATCTTTTCTTTTTCTTCAAGATCTTACTTATTTATAAGAGGCCGAGAGAAAGACCCAGGCAGAGGGAGAAGCAGGCTCCGTGCAGGGAGCCCGACGCGGGGTTCGCTCCCGGGACCCCAGGATCGCGCCCTGGGCCGAAGGCGGGCGCTAAGCCGCTGCGCCACCCGGGCTGCGCAGGCAGGGGGCGATCTTGATAAAAGAGTTCTCTTTCTGGGAGATCTGCTGATTGATTCTTGGGGAACAGAGTAGGAGGGAGACCTTGAGCCCTACTGCAGGGGTCTGGGCGGGGCATGATGATGTCCTGCACGAGGGTGGTAGAGTCGTTGGAGACATGGATTTTATTTTATTTTTTTAAGATTTTATTTATTTATTCATGAGAGACACACAGAGAGAGAGGCAGAGACACAGGCAGAGGGAGAAGCAGGCTCCATGCGGGGAGCCTGACGTGGGGACTCGATCCCGCGACCCTGGGGTCGCACCCTGGGCTGAAGGCAGGCGCCGAACCGCTGACCCCCGCCTGCTGCCTGGAGAGGTGGATTTTAGAGGGATTTAGGATGTAACATTGACAGCAGTGGTGGGGATGAGAGTGACACACAGGATTTCTTGCTTGGATGGTTGCTATTCGTGGGGAACAAGTGTCTTACTAGAAGTCCTTGCAAGCAGTCCCTCCACATTCACCCCGGCCCCTCATGTGGACCCCAAACCCCACCCATGTTCAGATGGAATCTATTCTCACAAAGCAGCCCAAGGGACCCATGAAGGTGCAAAATAGATTCCTGACACCTCAGTTTAAACCCTTCCAGCCCCTTTCCGTTGCACCAGCATGTAAATTCTCTACCCGCGTTTTGAAGCCCAGCATGACCTGGCCCCCATACACTGCACTGATCGCACCTTGTACCATAGTTTTCTACACTCCATCCTGTTGGCTTGGTTTGTTTGGGTTTTGAATGCCAAGCTTGTGCTGCCTCTGGGACCCTTGCCCTAATGATTCTATAAATACCACATCTCTCTCCTGTTGTTTTTTTTTTTTTAAGATTTTATTTCAGACAGAGAGAAAGCACAAGTGGGGGGAGGGGCAGAGGGAGAAGCAGACTCCCCACTGACACGAGGCTCCATCCTAGAACTCTGGGATCTTGACCTGAGCCAAAGGCAAACACTCAACCAACTGAGCCACGCAGGCGCCCCTCCCTCCTGTCTTATAGCTGTCTCCCTCTTACTCAGAATTGAGCTCCCATGTCAGTTTTACAGAAGGGCTTTCCGACCCCACAATGTAGTTTCCTCAGACTCTCCACCACTTCACATCGTTTTCATTGTCCACATGTGTCTATGTTTCTATATGTACTTGCTTACTGTCAATCTTGACGATAAGTCCAGAACTGTGAGCTCCATGTTGGCAGTGACCCGTGTCCATCTCACCTAACCTGTTTCCTCAGCCCCTCGGAATGGTACTTGGCACATGGTGAATCCCCAATTTGTTGGTCAAATGACTGAAAGAAGAGATCTGAGGAAGAAAGTGCTGGGTTCTGTTTTACATGTGTCAAGTTTGAGATGCCTGTACAGCTGTGCAGAACAGGTGTCTCTACGGTCTCCCTCTGAGTAGCAGTAGCTGACCTACAGATGGAGATAAGATGGACATTAATGTGTACCTGAGCGATACAGTCACTCAGGAGGGGTGTGTAGGACAAACAGAAGAGCCTGAAGGTTGCATCCCTAGGTGAGGAGAGAGCAGAATATTTCAGGGATGGTGTAGAAGAAACCACCACTCAAGAAGATGTAAGAAGGAAGAGCTGGCACGGAGCGGGGGCACTCCAAGAGTCTGTGGTGTCACCAAGGCTATAAGAAAATATTTCAAGATAAGAAGGAAGGGGGAGTTAACATCTAGCACTGCAGAGAGGTGAAATGAGAACATTTTTATCGAATTTAGCCACAAGCAGGTGGGATTGGTGACCTTGGTGAACACCATTCATTTGATAGTAAGAATGAAAATGACTTCAGCAGGATGAAGGGATGTTAAATATCCCAAGGAAAATTTGATTTGAACGTTAGTGATAGGGGAGCAGAGCATGTAGACAGTTGGAAGAGTAAGGTTGGTTATGGTGGGTCACTGCGTAATCTCCATTTTTGGTAAGTGGTTTTGATGTAACTGTTTCCCTGGTTTTTGTTGTTTTTAATTAAGTAAGCTCTACACCCAGCGTAGGGTTTGAACTCCCAACCCTGAGATCAAGAATCACATGCTCTAGGACTGAGCCAGTCAGGCGCCCCAACTACCCTATTTCTTTTTATTCCAGAAGCCACATCTGTTTTGGAATGAAGTCACCTGAAGAGATGCGCCAGCAGGCCCACATCCAGGTTGTGAGTAAGAACCTGTACAGCCAGGACAACAACCATGCTCCCTTGCTGTACGGTGTGCTTGACCATAGGATGGTAAGACCCCCACCCCTTCCCAGTTCCATGTGTTTTGACTTGCTGATGAAACCAGTGACTTGTCAGATTGGAAGAAGCAAGAGCTTCTTTCCATCTCCCTGATTTCCCCAGCACATCTCAGAGACTCCAGCCTTGGTCAGTTGGATGTGAAGACTCTGCACCTTCCCAGGTGATTCTGACTCAGAGTCACCTGGTCCCACTTCCCTGTCCAGTGGTCTCCATTAATAATTGGGTGTGCTTTTATCCAAAGGGTACAAGTGAGAAGGACCGTCCTTGTGAAACCTGTGGGAAGAACTTGGCTGACTGTCTGGGCCACTACGGGTATATCGACTTGGAGTTGCCATGCTTCCACGTGGGCTACTTCAGAGCAGTTATCGGCATCTTACAGGTGGGCACAGACATGTTTGTGTTCAAGGCGTAAACTTAGGAATTACTAGTCAGGGACATTGGGGTGAGCTTAGCAATTGTGAGTGATTTGGAGATACACCTAGGGAGAATTTTTATGTTACTTACATATGGAATATTGCATCTTGCAGTAAATTCAGTTGCATCAGGATTGTTTATTCTTTAATTTTCCTTGAATGGGTGATAGATAAGCATTGTGAGAAATAACCATAAATCAAGCAGGACAAAACAGCACAAAGTTAAAAAATTAGCAAAATCCTACCAGGCAGCTATGACTGCAGCTAGCATTCTGGTGAACATGTCTATGCATCTTTGGGCATGTGACTCAGTTTCAGTGTCCTGGGCAAGAAGTAGGGGTGACTTTTTTTTTCTTTCTTTCTCTCATCCTTTTATCTGTTTTAATTTTTAAAAGATGATCTGTAAAACCTGCTGCCACATCATGCTGTCCCAGGAGGAGAAGAAGCAGTTTCTGGATTATCTGAAGAGGCCCGGCCTGACCTACCTCCAGAAACGTGGACTAAAGAAGAAAATCTCTGATAAATGCCGAAAGAAGAACATCTGCCACTACTGTGGCGCTTTTAATGGTGAGCAGAAGACGTGAAAGGCTTAGTGAAAGCCGTTTCCATTCGCTCTGGTCCATTTAGCTTATGAGTTGTTATGTAGTGTTGGGAAGTCAGGTTTTTTTCTTGCAAACTAGGCTTTAGAGCCTAGCAACATGTCCTGTTAGCAAATGCAATTTCAGTGACCTCATTATCAGGACTGCAACCTCAGGGCAGCCTGACCAAGTACCTCATTAGTCCAACCTTGGTAAATAAATTCCCTCCTCACAGGTACCGTAAAGAAATGTGGACTGCTAAAGATAATTCACGAGAAATACAAGACCAACAAAAAAGTGGTGGATCCTATCGTATCGAATTTTCTTCAGTCTTTTGAAACAGCCATCGAGCATAACAAAGAAGTAGAACCACTGCTGGGAAGGGCACAGGTGAGCCTGAGAGCACATGCCTGCCTCCCCCTGCATCACCCACACCCATTCTCACCCGTTCCTCTCTCTCATAGACACATCTTTCAAAATGAGAAATCCACTTAAGTTAGATTCCTAGGGATACTTCAGAACCAGTGCTTATGTTACGCAGTGTTTAACATAGACTGGCCTTGTAACTAATGCATTTTTAATTGTGTGGGTAATGTGTTTAGTTTTATCATAAGAGACTGGCTGTGTCGAGCATAAGCTGAGAGATGCCGTTTCTCACTTGGGTACTGAGATCTTAGAAATTGTAGGTGACTCCCATTTCTTTACTTGGCACAGACATAAGTAGAATTTTGTGAGGTATCCTGCTCTACGTTGCTCCAATTTTGATTAGTATTTAATTACCACAGTGACAAATCAGAGCTGTGGGGAGCATCAGGACCTGCAAGACAATGGGTCTGTGAAAACATAACTGATATCCTAGGACAGGGTGTTGACCATCACACAAGGGGCAGAGACAGTTCACTGGGAAATCAGGAGGAGGATGGCACTTTGGACTTAGGGAAGACTGAAGAAAGGTGTGGTGTGATCTGGTCTTTAACATGAGCAGGGTTTACGAGTCAAGGGCAGGCATCTCAGCATGTCTAGGCAGCAGTGTCTAGACTGTTTCTAAAGCTGAGGCTCTGAAAGACCAGGGAGTGCAAATAAAAGCACCCTGCCTTCGGCGACTGCTGTTAGGGACAGTCACTGTCCAAGCTCACCACATGGATTGCTTCCTAGTTAGTTCTCAGGAGCACTTGAGACCGCCTTGCCTCAGATGACTGAGAGGACTCTAGCCAAGGCAACTGGAGAGCTGGACACAAGACAACTGAGAGGTCACTGTAGAGCGTGTCCTGCACTCCCCAGAGCAAAGCCAGGGAAGGCTTTGAGCAGGAAAGTTCATGGTGAATACATGACAAAATCCTGGAATCGCCTGGCTGCTCTTCTAGAGACCCCATTACCAGAGTGAAAAGACAGGCCATGGGCTGGGAGAAAGCAGTCACTACTTGGACTGGATCTGACAGTGGATCCAGAGTCTGGATCTGACAAAGGAATCTCGTATCCAGAATATAGGAAACAGTCCTTAAAAATCCATGTGAAGAATACAATCTGATTTTATTTTTATTTTATTTTATTTTTTAAAATTTTATTTATTCATGAGAGACACACACAGAGAGAGAGAGGCAGAGACACAGGCAGAGGGAGAAGCAGGCTCCATGCAGGGAGCCTGACATGGGACTTGATCATGGGTCTCCAGGATTACGCCCTGGGCTGAAGGCGGTGCTAAACCATTGAGCCACCAGGGCTGCCCCCACAACCTGATTTTTTAAACAGTGGGAGCAAAACTTGAGTTAGCACGTCGCAAAAGGATATATTCAAACAACTAATAAACAAAAAACTGCTCGATGTTATTAGTCATCAGGGAAATGCTAGTTAAAACTATACACGTGCACACCTAGCAAAATTAAAATCTAAAAAAAACTGAAGACCATGTGCTGGCAAGGATGGGAAGCAGCTGGCACTCATACGTTTACAGTGGCAGTGTGAAAAGTTACCACCACTCCGAACAGCAATTTGATGATTTCTTATAACGACATCCACACTCACCATGTGATGTAGCAGTTTTGCTCTTCAGTATATACCCAGGGGAAATGAGTGCATTTGTACAAGAGCGTTCGTCACAACTTTATGACGAAAAGCCACAATTAGAAACAGCCTAGATGTCTGTCAACAGGAGAATAAACAAATTGTCACAGATTCACATGTTGGAATACTGTCCTGCAGTGAAAGAAGTAAACTCATGACACACACAAGCTGGTCACATGTCAAAATTCTGCTGAGAACAAGAAACTCTATACAGGAGGATACGTAGCTTACAATTCCATGTAAATCAAGTCCAATAACAGGCCAGATGATCTGTGGTGATAGACGTCAGGAGAGCAGTTACCCCTGGGGTGAGAGCTTGGTCCAGACTAAAAAGAGGTATCTGGGTCCTTGTAGGAAGAGATGAAGATATTCCATATTTTGATCTGAATACTATTGTGTATGTGTAAAAATGCGTCAGTCTCTCTAGGATTTACACAATTTACTATATGTGAATTCTGCCTCGATGCGGGGAGGGAGGAGGCAGAGTTACAAGGAAAACGCTCTGAGCCTGGGAGGTGATAAAGGAGCCAGAGACCAGAGTCCCTGTGTGCAGTAAGAATGGACAGGAGTTGGGCACCTGGGTGGCTCAGTTGGTTAAGCGTCTCTCTTCAGCTCAGCTCATGATCCCAGCCTCCTGGGATTGAGTCCCACATCAGGCTCCCTGCTCAGTAGGGAGTCTGCTTTTCCCTCTGCCCTTACCCCCAATTGTGATCAATCTCCACCCCCCCCCCCCATAAATCTTCAAAAAGAAAAGAATAAATGGGAGTTGATGATCAACCACCAGGTAGATAGGTGGGAGGAGGAGTAGTCAGCAGTGGGTGAGCAAGTGCCTGCACAGATGTGAAAATGGGAGTGATCCTGGAAATGGGGAGAGAGGTGTCCGTGACTGATTCAAGCAGAAATGTCTTCAGGGCAAGTAGGGCGAAGCTCCTGCAGAGGAAGTGAAGGTGTAGGCTGGGGAAGATGATCTTGCCCTTGTACAGCCATGAGAAGGCCACTTTCCAGGCTGGTGGCTGTGCAGAAAGCTGTCAGAAGCCTGGGGAGCAGCCTCAGTTGTGAGCTTGAGGGGTGCCCAGGTTCTCCGAGGGGCGGTCTTACTTGCTAGCCCCTTGCATGCACTCTGCTGCTCCTGATCAGCCTCCGTGACACCCCACCACCACTACTCCCTGCCAGCTCTCTGCCCAGGACCGGCATCCGCTGTCTGTCCACACCCTGTCCACAATAGCACAATACTCCCATATGGCCTGGGAGGCATCTTGTTTGGGATAAGTCTCCTAAATGCCTCGTCTCTGGAGGTAACCCCCTCCTGTTTAAGAGTCATGAGTCTGGAGCATCCTAGGCATTCCCCCACTGCCACTACTTCCCTGTGTAGCCCATGCCACCCCACCCAGATTTACACCCTAGGGGTGGTTCAGGGTAGTGAAAAGCTTTGATTTTGTGGTCCCATCAGAGATTGGAGCCCAGCTCTGCCACTTTATTCTAGGACTTTAGACACGTGACCCAACCTGGTCGTGAGTTTCCTCAACTATCAACAGGGATTACAAGAGTATCTGCTTTAAGGCTATTGTAAGGATTAAGAGATGAATTCCAGATAAAGTGCCTGGTGCAGAGCAAGTGCTTAGGGCGCCATTACCCAGTTGCAGTAGCTAGCACTGCTGCTGACATCATCATAATGACAGGATGGGACGTCTGGGTGGCTCAGTCGGTGAAGCATCTGCCTCTAGCTCAGGTCATGATCCCAGGGTCCTGGGATCGAGCCATGTATTGAGCTTCTTGCTTAGCAGGGGGCCTGCTTCTCCCTCTCCCTCTGCAGCTCCCCGTTCTTATTCTCTCTGTCAAATAAATAAAATATTAAAAAAAAAGAATAGAAAAGCTTTAATAATGACAGGAGCACTGGCTGGCTTAGAAAAGCACGGGACTCTTGATCTTGGGTTTGTGAGTTCACTTCCCATGTTGGGTGTAGAGATAACTTAAAAATAACCTTTAAAAATAAATAAAAACAAACTTCTTTAGTGAAACTATATGATTTAGTTTACAACAGTAAAAGTATTAAAAAAAAAATAAGGAACTACAGTCAGAGTAAAGACAGATGAGGTTTCTTCTCCTCTCCACATGTATGCTGGGAATCTGTCCATTTGGCTTACCAACTCTGCTACCTCCCCTTCCTCACCAGACGCCCCCTTGCTTAAGCTTCTTAACTGCAGCCTCCGCCCTCCCAACCCTTTGATCTTACCCTTTTCTCAGCCATGGGTCTATTGTCTGTGCCTCGTGTAATACCTGTGTTCCATCTTGTATTTCTGCTGGCTTCTCCTTAAGTGTGGTCTGTAACGAGATCCGTTTTTCTGAGGTCCTATTTGAGGCCTTTCAAACAGGCTTGGAACAGTGGCAGGGCCTCCAGAATCATCAGAGACCATCAGCTCATCCTGGTTCTTAGACCAGCTGCAAAGAAGGGAGGGGGCGAAACAGGAATTCACTATTGCCTGATTCCAAATGGCCCTTCCTTAGAGAGGGCCCCTTAGTCACCTTAGTGAACGAAGCAACAGTGAGTAACTTTTACCTTTTGTGGAGAGGGGTGTCGTGCAGGTGGGTATACTTACTGGCTTGAAGCTCATTAATCTCAGGATGGTCCACATCCTGACATGTTTACCTACCCATTTAATTTCCAGGAACATGGAACCTCTTGTACCTTTATGGGCAGCATAGCATCCTTGAGTTGGAGGAGACCTTAGAGCAGTGTTTCTTGACCTTTTCTGGGTCACAGACCTCTTTAGGCACTGAACAAAAACTCTGGATCTCCAGAGGACTAGTGTATATCCATTCCTTATTTATTCATTCATTCATTCATTCATTCATTCATTCATTCATTAGACACACACAGAGAGGCAGAAACACAGGCAGAGGGAGAAGCAGGCTCCATGCAAGGAGCACAACATGGGCCTTTATCCCAGGACGCTGGGATCACAACCTGAGGCAAAGTAGACGCTCAACCACTGAGCCACCCAGATGCCCCTCTGCTGCCCATTTAAATGCAAATCCAGGAGTTGGCGGACCTGCAGGGAGGAGACTCTCCTTAGTGGTATGCCTGGGTGGTTAAGACCTTTGGTGTCTGTCTCTCAACGTCAGCTCAGGTCTTAATCTCAGGGTCATGAGTTCAAGCCCTGCATTGGGCTCCATGCTAGGCATGGAGCCTGCTTTTTAAAAAGTGTCTCTACACAGAGGTTTAGAAATAGAGAGTTGGCTGGTCAACTTGCATGTTACTGACAAGGGGTTATTGGGATTATTTTCTGATGGGACTAGCATGTCACTAAAGCTGGCCTTTTGATATATTAAGATTTTTTAAAAAGAAAAAAGAAAAAAATGTCTCTATAAATGGCATCAGTCTTGCCCCACCCCCACCCCCAGATAGAAATGTTTTCCACAGCATCCCTGGGCAGAGTGAGCGGCAGGCTGAGCTCTCTCTCTGCCACCCAGGACAGCCCATGGTCCCCCGAGGAGCCCCGGCTATTTGGATATTGTGCCTCGGACCAAACAGCCCTTCCTTCTATCTCTCCAGCAGTCCCTGACTTCTGTTTCCTAGTACATACCAGTAAGTCAGGGCTCTCTCCCCTGTGCCCTTTGGGAGGCTGATTTACCTCACTCTTGAGTGACAGCTCTGTCCAGGAACTGGTTTCTACACTCTTGTCAGTCCTCCTGTCCTCCTGCAATGGCCTTCAGTTCCGTGATATTCTTGTATGACACTGATCTTGGTGCTGGAAGTAACGTCTGGCCATCATCTTGTCCCTAGAACCCTTAGTTTTAGATTTTCTTCGACTGCTTCAGGTGGCCCTGAGGTGTTCCTTGCTGGGAGGCAGGGAAGCTGAGCAAGGTAATTCTGTGGGCAGGGACCCTGACTGCAAAATTTCGAGCAGGATTCCTTCTTTCTCCCCAACCCCACTGCCATCTCCAGGGCAGGCCCACAGAAACCTCTTGTGACAGTATCCTAAGGGCAGTGGCTGTTCAAACATTTCTTTTTAATTTTTTTCCCTATCTCATTAAGTTATGCATAGCAAGTTCTGCTTGTGACATGTATTTTTTGTCACACAGTCATTGATCTCAAGAAAATGTAATTTGTTTTTTAAGATTTTATTCATTCATGAGAGACACATAGAGACAGACACACAGGCAGAGGGAGAAGCAGGCTCCCTGCAGGGAGCCCGATGCAGGACTTAATCCCGGGACTCCAGGATCACGCCCTGGGCTGAAGGCAGCGGTAAACCACTGAGCCACCAGGGCTGCCCGAAGAAATGTAATTTTTAGCACCAAGATACAAGCTGGCCATTCTTACTTTTTATCTTTGAGTATTTCTGATCATGTGTGTAGTTCTTATAAGTAAGTTGTTATAGTATAGCACTTCTATAAAATAAAGTTAATACAAAGACAATATTATGGTGCCTAGGTGGCTCAGTCAGTTAAGTGTCTGCCTTCAGCTCAGGTCATGATCCGAGGATCCTGGGATGGAGCCCCTCTTCTGGCTCCCTGCTCAACAGGGAGTCTGCTTCTCTCTCCGCCTCTCCCCCCGCTCATGTGCACGTGCATGCACGTGCTCTTTTTCTCTCAAATAAATGAATATTAAAATTTTTTTATTGGGCAGCCTGGGTAGCTCAGCAGTTTAGCGCCGCCTTCATCCCAGGGCATGATCCAGGCTGCCCTAAAATCTTTTTTAAAAGACGAAAACAGTGTCTGTTCACTGCAGAAAATTTACATGTAAGCAAAGAAGCGAAAAGATTATACGGTCCAGGTACGGCAAGGTGGCTCAGCAATAGAGGGTCTGCCTTCCACCCAGGCCGTGATCCTGGAGTCCCGGGATTAAGTCCTGCATCGGGCTCCCTGCATGGAGCCTGCTTCTCCCTCTGCCTGTGTCTTTGCCTTTTTCTCTCTGTGTATCTCATGAATAAATAAATAAAATCTTTAAATAAAATCTTAAAAATTTACACAGTCCATTCACCTGTACACAGTACTATTAACACCTTGCTAAATGTTCATTTCCTCTTTTCTGTTTAGCTGTACATTTTCCCCTAAAGGAGATCATATTGTATACACACTTCGTTCATTTACCAATATTTTATGAACATCTTTCACGACCGTAGCTACGTTTGTGTAGTATCATTTTTTAAACAGATTAATAATTGCTCACGTGCAGATCTACTATGATGTTATCTAGCCAGCAACCTATCAGGCTGTTTACAACTCTTCACTATCAACAGCTGTAGGGAACATTCCTGTAGCTGAATCTTTGTGTTGATTCCTGAAGTCCTACCCTTTGGAATAATAATTAGGAGAAGTGGAATTACTGGCTCAAGTAGTTGGATTAATTGGAATAAAGGGTATGTACATGTTTAGGGCTCTGCCAGCATAGCATGTTTCCAACAGAAATTTCTGTCAGTGCTTATACTTAACTCTGAAGTAAGTGGCGGGTAGGGTAGAGAGCACGGAGAGGTAAGTAAACCTTTGCCAAAGCTGTTGAAAGTTAACACTTCTCCATTCTTCTTTCCTTCTCTCCATAGGAAAACTTAAACCCCTTAGTAGTTCTGAATTTATTTAAACGGATCCCGGCCGAAGATGTCCCTCTACTTCTAATGAACCCAGAAGCTGGAAAGCCGTCTGATTTGATTCTCACACGACTCTTAGTGCCCCCTTTGTGTATCAGACCCTCCGTCGTGAGTGATTTGAAGTCTGGCACCAATGAAGATGATCTGACAATGAAATTGACAGAAATCATTTTCTTAAATGACGTCATCAAAAAGGTCAGTACTTCCAAGCCCTCTTAGGAGTGTATCTGTGCAAACACTCTTCATCAAGGTCAGGTTGACCCAGGATCTTTTTTTTTCTTCATTTTCCTCAACTTTAGCATCGAATATCAGGAGCGAAGACCCAGATGATCATGGAAGACTGGGACTTCCTACAGCTGCAGTGTGCCCTCTATATCAACAGCGAGCTCTCGGGCATTCCCCTCAACATGGCACCCAAGAAATGGACTAGAGGATTTGTCCAGCGCCTGAAGGGAAAGCAGGGTACGTTTCCAACAAAATGTACATGAGACAGTCTGCTGCCTTTGTTATCTTTTTCTGGAGTGTTCGGCTTATCTAAATGGAAATCACAGACTTTCCTAGTTCTTTGTGGTCCTGCTATCCCCAAACAGCACATGTTTGTGCCGTGGAGACCTATGATGTGTCTTTATCGATTTAGGTCGATTTAGAGGCAATCTCTCAGGAAAGAGAGTGGATTTTTCTGGGAGAACAGTCATCTCACCTGACCCCAACCTCAGGATTGATGAGGTAGCTGTGCCAGTTCACGTGGCCAAAATTCTTACTTTTCCTGAGAAGGTAAGTACCATTTAGCCACTCAATTCTGTGTTTCAAATCTAGTCTCTTATTTTTGAATTCCAAACGCTAGACGATTGGAAAATCCCCAGTAACCCACACAGCCCACAATTTGGTATATGTGTTATATTCCAGTTTCATAGATATGCCACCACATACAACATCTGTAACATGCACAGCCACAGGTGTGTCTGGCTTTGTATGTGTATACTCATATATACAGTTGATACACACTTCTGCAACTTTTTTTTCCAAGTTGGTTTGGAACTTATGTTTTTAAAGTAACTAAATGGTAAGCACCACACCCAGTTAATTTTCTTGGGATGGATTATTATTTTTTAAAACCTTTTAATCACTGAGTCAAATACTTTGAATATTTTAAGGCTACTGATGCACAGCCATAAAGGCTGCAGCACGTTATAGTTAACTCACACTCCTCATGAGTGTAAAATGGTAATTATAGTAACTGGGGTATAGAAGGTCCCTATAGCTCGGTGTAGTCCACTCATTTTACTAATGTAAAGGACTTTGCTGTTTCACTCTGCCAGTGGTGAGTTCAGATTGGAACCTGAGCTCCTGTGTGCCAGTCCCCTATTATCATTAAACTCAAGACCCTAGGCAGCAGGATGCCTGCAGTTGCCTTTCTTTCTCCTGGAATCACCCAAGGAAAGTGAAGGTTGAGGCAAAATTCAGGATAACGTACTAGCTTACAGAAACCTAACGGTATCTCCTTGTGTCCTCTTTTGTGTTCATGCAGGTGAATAAAGCAAACATCAACTTTTTGAGGAAACTGGTTCGAAATGGCCCTGAAGTTCACCCAGGAGCCAATTTCATTCAGCAGAGACATACACAGATGAAAAGGTAAATGCTGTCCTGATCTATACGTAACGACCTTTTCTAGACCAAGATCGCCATACTCAGCCACAGAATGCAGTCCAAAATACGTTTGTGACGTTTTAGCCTCTAGAAAATACTGCTTAAATCACAATGATCCTAGGTACATCATTTGCTGTGTTTGCACATTGCATATACACAAAATGTCCATTTGTTCTCTAGCATTTATTATTGGACTTAGGTAGACAATGCATGGAGTTATGAAAACCAATCATTTTCTATGTCGCACGAGCTCTCTGGGGTTACTTCAATGTCCTTACAACCTTGCTGCTGGCTCTGGCTTTTCACTGATCACTGGTGCCTTTTTATCTCTTGAGATAAACATAAGGTAAAATCATATCAGTAGCACTGTGGGAGAAGCTGACTTGTTACTGCGTTTCTGTAATTCTAAGTTACAGCGTTTTTCATATTTTAACATTTACGAGCTGAAAACTTATCTAACACCATGTCATAGTTTAACTGACAGTCTTGTGGAGGCACCTTTGATTTAGTAAAATGTGATCATTTTTGAGTCTGAATCCTGATGTGAAGACAGAGTGACTTAGTAAGGAGGCTCTGTTCTCACCAGTCATGTTTGTTATCACACATTTAGGTTTTTGAAGTATGGAAATAGGGAAAAGATGGCTCAGGAGCTCAAGTACGGGGACATTGTGGAGAGACACCTCATAGACGGAGACGTGGTGCTGTTCAACCGGCAGCCCTCGCTGCACAAACTGAGCATTATGGCGCATCTGGTGAGTGTGAGATTTCTGTTTTTATCTTCTGTCGGGTGGGAATTTGCTGGGTGTGTGATGCTAAATTCCCGACCCTTAAAATTCAGATTGCCAGTAATCTCAAAATTTTGTGACTTCTGATTTTTCTTTTCTCTCACTTTTTAGTTGGAGTGCAACTTTTACATTTCAAGCTTCCCTTCAGTGTTTTTAATACTTACAAAATCCACACACAACAGTGAAACAGAAAGGAGCTAATTGGAAATTAGCATCAAAGTGACTGGCATGATTCCACTTGCAAACAAAAATATATACATATGTGTGTGCACAGATTTATGTAAAATAGATATGGCAGGAAGTTGATTTCAGGTTTAACTTAGCATATTAACTATGGAACTAAACCACTTAGGAGGTTTTTTGTCGCAGTGGCCCTCCAAAGAAAACCTTCAAGCATATTTTCTTCGGTGGTGTAGTTTTGGAACAGTAGCAGTTCCTTTTTCTGGAGATTTAAAATGGAAATGAGATGCAACTTTAATTTGCTAAATATTCATAAATTCTATCTCTAAAGCCATTAAATCCATGAGCATTCACAGTGTTTAAACAGGCTCTTTGGATAGTTTTTCTAGAATTCAGTTTTTCACTTTAAGAACATGTGTCTTTTTTTTTTTTTTAAGATTTTATTTATTCATGAGAGACACAGAAAGAAGCAGAGACACAGGCAGAGGGAGAAGCAGGCTCCCCCGAGGGGAGAGAAATATAAGAGAATAAATTAGGAAAAAGGTTGATAAACTTTCAAGGGAGGCACCAGGCTGAAGTATCTGATGCCCTAACTTCAATATAACTAAGAGTGGGGCAGCCAACAGCATGTGCCTCCTGAAATATGATGAGAGGAAGGGGTGTCTGGGTGGCTCAGCGGGTTAAGCATCTGCCTTCAGCTCAGGTCATGATCCCAGAGTCCTAGGATCACGACAGCTGAAGGCAGACACTCAACCACTGACCCCTGTAGACGTCCCTATGAACACATTTCATCGGTTTCTTTATTTAAGTGTAGAAATACCAAAGAAGCAATTTATGATAATGGGGGTTACAATTACGGGGATCTGGGGAGATGAAGAAAAGTGTTCCCTTTCTGGAATCCTTTGCTTGGCTTTGGGGCATTCTCAAAAATGTTTTTGTTTGAAAACTTTCAAATATATACAAAAGTGGAAAAAGTAGTATGAGGAAGTCATATATTCTCATTCTTTGTGTTTAATAATTTTCAAGATTTTGCCACAGCTATTTTCTCTCCCTTTTGTCTTTGATAACCCCAGATGCCGTGTCTTCTCTCCGTGTGTATTCAGTTTACTTCAGTAAGACACACATAACCCCAGTGCAAGACCGCACCACACAAAATGAATGCTCAGTGCTTGGTATTGTCTGGCACCCAGTCCATGTTCACATTCCCCCACATATCTCAACAGTCTTTTCACAGCTAGTTTGTCTGATGCAAAGTCTGCACATGTCATTTGGTTGATAACATGTCTTCACTCTTGATCTAGAACAGCCCCCTGCTTTGATTTCATTGTTGTTGAAAAACTCAGGTCATTTGTCCTAAAGAATGTCCCGTGTTCTCTATATGTATACACGTGGCATTAAGAGTTTTTTCATTCTTCCTTTTATTCCTATAAACTGGACAGTAGCTCTCAAGGCAGGATCAGATTCATGTTCAACTTGGGCAAGAATAGCTCCCAGGTGATGCTGGCTATTTCCTCTTGCTTGCTTGCTTTTTTATTTTTTTATTTTTTTTTTTTTTAAATTAACTGTTCACATTTTTTTTTCTTTTTTCTTTTTTTTTTTTTTTTATTTACTTATGATAGTCACAGAGAGAGAGAGAGAGAGAGAGAGAGAGAGAGAGAGGCAGAGGCAGAGACACAGGCAGAGGGAGAAGCAGGCTCCATGCACCGGGAGCCCGATGTGGGATTCGATCCCGGGTCTCCGGGATCGCGCCCCGGGCCAAAGACAGGCGCCAAACCGCTGCGCCACCCAGGGATCCCTTGCTTGCTTTTTTAAAGATTTTACTTATTTATATGACGGAGAGAGTGTGAGAGAGGGGTTGCTGCAGAGGGAGAGGGAGAGGCAGGCTCCCCGCTGAGCAGGGAGCCTCATGTGGGGCTGGATCCCAGGACCCTGGTATCATGACCTGAGCCGAAGGCAGATGCTTAACCCACTGAACCACCCAGGCACCCCTTCCTCTCGTCATATTTCAGGAGGCACATGCTATTGGCTGCCCCACTCTTATTTATGCTGAGGTTAGGGTATCAGATACTTAAGCCTGGTGCCTCCCTTGAAAGTTTATCAACCTTTTTTCTAATTTATTCTTTCTTTTTTTTTTTTAAGATTTTATTTATTTATTCAGAGAGAGAGAGAGAGAGAGACAGGCAGAGGGAGAAGCAGGCTCCATGCAGGGAGCCCGATGTGGGACTTGATCCCGGGTCTCCAGGATCACACCCCAGGCTGCAGGCGCAGGCGGCGCTAAACCGCTGCGCCACCAGAGCTGCCCTAATTTATTCTTTCATGTTTTATATCTACCATTTGTATAATGAAGAATTTTTTCTTTTTTCTTTTTTTTTTTAATGAATTTTTTCTTATGAACTTTTTTGCTTACCCGAAAATACAATTCCTGAAGGAAAGGCAGCATAAATGCCTGATTCTTTTTCCTTTATTATCAGTTTTTTGAGGAGGAGAAAGTTGGTGTTCAGTTTCTTCCTGTTGAGTTAGTTTGGGTTTTTTTGTTTGGTTTTGCTTTCCTTTTTTCAGTGTCATTATAAACTCATGCATTTTTATTTAGTCGATGTGTTTTAATCAGCTTCTGCCATTAATCTGTTTGATATCAAACCGTGACATCATTGGCCAGCAGAGCCCTTTCTTGTGGCTCCTAGGTTGGTGTTTGCTTTGTGTTAAACTCATTGCATTGTTGCGATCTAATAAAGCTACTTGAATAAATCCACAAGTGATGTATTATCACTTGACAGAACATACTAGAAATTTATTTCCTTCACCAAAAGTGTCTAGTTCTCCAGGAAGCCATTTATTAATGTTTCAAAACTATGAAGTTTTTGGATAAATGACTAAGTCATTCTCTCTCTCTTTTTTGGTATTCCACAGGCCAAGGTCAAGCCCCATCGGACCTTCAGGTTTAACGAGTGTGTCTGTACACCCTACAATGCAGATTTCGATGGTGATGAGATGAACCTTCATCTTCCTCAAACAGAGGAAGCTAAAGCAGAGGCCCTTGTTTTGATGGGGGTAGGTAGGATGGCAGGCTCACTTTTATATAACAGCCCAAAAGGAGGGGAAGGGGGACGGATCCTGTTTGAAAGCACCCTGTAGCATGTAAGGAAGTGTCTGCAACTGGTGGAGAGTCGAGTATTTTCTGGCCTATAATGTGCATCTCTAAGGGAAAGTACCTACCCAAGCACCAGCTGTGAAAAGATAAGACAAGGGTGTACCTAGTATCTTGACTGTTGGGTGGCGTGGGAAAAGCAGATGTTCTACACAGGTGGATTTTTTTTGGTAGCTGAAGGTTCTTTTAAGTACAGATACGTTTTACTGAATGTTCTGAGTGAAAACCTTCCTACAGTATATTTCATGATTGCTGGTAATCTTAAGGACACACTAAACAAAATCATTTTGTAGAGGTTAGGTTTTCCCTTTTCCCCAGTATTCTGGTTTTCTGTGCTACGGGCTGATTTGTCTGTAGCTGTCAGTGCTCCTACGTTCAAAACACTTTTCACCATTTCTGATTCGTTCTTTTTAAATCTGTTTAGGGTGTTAGTATTGATTCTAAAGTGAAGGCGATTAAGTTCTATGAGCAAATCTATTACACTACAGGAGTATTCAGCGGGGACAGGCAGGAGGGGCTGCATTCTTGGCCTCTGCCTGGGTTTTTTATGCCTGAAGTTGATACAGCTTTTCTGGTAAAGCAAAGTATATACTGTGGTGCATATTTTGTATATGGACTTAACTACTAAGAGATTCATGTGGCTGAAGTACACTGTGGTCTTCAGTTTTTTTAAAACACTGATTCTTATTTATTCAAATGTTTCAGCATAGTGGAGTTACTTAAATAACATAAGAGGTTTACTTTTTTTTTTTTTTAAGATTTTATTTATTTATTCATGAGAGACAGAGAGAGAGGGAGAGAGGCAGAGACACAGGCAGAGGGAGAAGCAGGCCCCATGCAGGGAGCCTGACGCGGGACTTGATCCTGGGACTCCAGGGTCACGCCCTGAGCCAAACCACTGAGCCACCCAGGGATCCCCCCCAACTCTGTTTTATCTCCAGCTCTTTTTATCTGTTTGTTCTTTATCCATGAATGTAGATATTTGTTATGGTCATGATTTGTGATAGCCTGTTTTCCTTTTTTACTACTTAATGTATTACAAATGCCCCCTTGTGGGTGTCTGGGTGGCTCAGTCAGTTGAGTGTATGACTCTTGGTTTCGGCTCAGATCGTGATCTCAGGATTGTGAGATCAAGCCCCACATGGGACATGGAGCCTGCTTAAGATTCTCTCAAAAAAAAAGAGAGATTCTTTCTCTCCCTCAGCCCCTCCTCCCTCTTTAAAAAAATTAATAATATAAATTTAAAAATTAAAAATGCGGGCAGTCCCGGTGGCCGAGTGGTTTAGTGTCGCCTTCAGCCCAGGGGGTGATCCTGGAGACCCAGGATCCAGTCCCACTTCGGGCTCCCTGCATGGAGCCTGCTTCTCCCTCTGCCTGTGTCTCTGCCTCTCTCTTTCTCTCTGTGTCTCTCATGAATAAATAAAATATTTTTTTAAAAAATTAAAAATGCCCCCATTTGTTGTAAAGTCTTCATGATTATCCATTATAATGGCTTCACAGTATTTCACCAAGTTAACACACCAAGATTTATCTACCTTCTGTTGAATTTTTTTTTTCTTCATGAGAGAGAGAGAGAGGCAGAGACACAGGCAGAGAGAGAAGCAGGCTCCTCACAGGGAGCCCGATGCAGGACTCAATCCCCAGACCGGGATCACATCCTGAGCCAAAGGCAGACACTCAAACACTGAGCCACCCAGGTGTCCCCCTTCTGTTGAAAATTTAGGGTATTTTCCCTATTTCGATACGAGGATGAATCCCTCAGGGGCCATCTTTGTGCATTTGGAGTCTTTCTTCTGAACTATTTCTTCAGACTCCTCAGCCTTTTAAAATGATTTTGGTTGATGTGTATTGAGTGCCTGGGTGCCAAGTATGCTTCTAGGAATGTAGCATAGAATAAGGAAATCAAAGTTCTTGTTCTCCTCCCTTTTCAAGTCGGGAGAGGTGGAGAATAAATATAAAGTAGGTTAGGTGGCAGTAAGTGCTGAGAAGGAAGGAACAAAGCACAGAAGGAGGAAAGAAAATGAGAGGGGTCCTATTCCATAGAGGTTGGTCAGGGAGGGCTGTTGGAATGATAACACTTGAACCAACTTCTGAAGGAAGTGAAAAATTGAGTAGCATGGCTGTCAGCAAAAGAACAGTCCAAGCAGAGGAACAATAGGTGCAAAGACCCTGTGGTATGATCATTCCCCAGCAGGACAAGAGGCTAGCCTGTCTCCTCCTAAGCCTCAGTATTGTAGCAGTTGTGATGAGCGCTGTGTTGGGTGCTGGTGGACAGCAAGAGAGAAGATGATGGAGAGTGGTTGGCCACCATCCAGTTCTGCACTCCCACTGTCAAATGGTGCGTTGATACTCTTTCTGGTCTCGTGCTCTCATTGCTGGTAAGCTCTCCAGAGGACATAATCAAGAGTTGTAAAGCATTAGAAACAGGCGATTGTCCACCAATAAAAAGTAAGATTAAATTATGTCCCATTCATACCACAGAATCCCATGCAGCCCTTAGAAATGATGATACAGTTTGTAGAGTTATTCGCATGAAAGCTATTTATGATTTATCTTTTATTTAAAAGAACAGGCTGTGTATATAGCGTGATCCTACTTTGTTTGGTAAAGAGATGCTTCTCTGTAAAAACGTTTATAGCCGGAAGTTGGAAGGCTTATATACCAAAATCCTATAACAATGGTTCTTTTGGTTTGGCAGTTCCATGCAGAGATGTTTTTTGGGATTTTTTTTATTTTTTCACCTTTTTTGTGTGTTTATTTTTTATATATATAGAACATACTATTTTGGTAATAAAAAGTAATGTTTAGCATGTTGCTAGTGATAACAGCTCTGTAACTGATAGTGATAACATCCTGTCACCAACCAGTTGGACTTTAGCATCATTGACTTTTGTCAAAATAACATACCTTATTGGTTACAAATGACAATAAGACACAGGCTCCAAGGATATTGGGATGGAAGGATATTTAGTTACCATCAGGACAAATCCCTCAATTTCATGTAAGAAAATTATCTTGACTCAGCAGTTCTGACTCAATGGAGTGGGTATGGTTCTAGCCTGAGTGTAGTCCCAAGTTACCCTGGAGACTTGGAAAATATGCAGATCTCCGCTTCATGTGCTCAGCCTCCAGACCACCTCCTTATCCTACCACAGAGATTCTCAAAAGCAAGCATGAATAGCTGTCTTCCAGCCCTAGTTGGAGGATCACTGCTGTGCTGAGAAAGCAGGTCTCTCCCTTGGATAGCCTTTCACTCCAGGTGAGGTTGCCCAGACAACCCATAAATAACACAACTATCTTCACATCAAGATTTGAGCAAATTTATATGTCAGTTATGTCTCAACAATAGCAAAAATTGAGCAAATGCACTCTGATGCACAGAATGTTTAAACTTGTTAATTATGCCGTGAACACCCAGCCCCCCTTTTTGCTCAGTGTAGGCACTCATTAAATTTTGATTAAATCCTGTTGTTAATTATTATTAGAAAGCCAAGAGAAGTTCAGCAGTTCTGCCATCATTTTGGAGAGGTATGAAATTGATTGACTTCAAAGATGACAGTGCTACTAATCATCATTCATAGAAGTGAATTTTCTTTGGAGAAATGAGTTTATTAATAACTATGAAGTCTTACATATATGGAATTCTTGTAGGAATCCAAAACAAGGGGATCCCTGGGTGGCGCAGCGGTTTGGCGCCTGTCTTTGGCCCAGGGCGCGATCCTGGAGACCCGGAATTGAATCCCACATCGGGCTCCCAGTGCATGGAGCCTGCTTCTCCCTCTGCCTGTGTCTCTGCCTCTCTCTCTTACTCTGTGACTATCATAAATAAATTAAAAAAAAAAAAAAAAAGGAATCCAAAACAAGGGACGCCTGGGTGCCTCAGTGGTTGAGCATCTGCCTTCAGCTCGGTGTGATCCCAGGGACCTGGGATCGAGTCCCACGTCAGGCTTCCCGCAGGGGGCCTGCTTCTCCCTTTGCCTATGTCTTTGCCTCTCTCTGTGTGTCTCTCATGAACAAATAAATAAATCTTTAAAGAAAAGGAATCCAAAACAACTTCACTCGGTATTTATTTCAGTGTTGGTAGGAACATACAAGGCCCATTGGTTATTTCCCCTCAACAGATAAAGGAACAAGGAGCTGGTGACAAAGCTGGGATTGAACCCCCTGGCTTACCTTTCTCAGCCTCTTTTTTTCTGGTCACCAGCCATTCTTTATTTATTTACACCAGTTCTGAGTCTTTGTGGTACAGTTCTGTGGCTTGCATCACGCAAGCCGAAGAACGTCCAGGAATGGCTAACATATTGTGTTTGTTTTGCCTTCAGACCAAAGCAAATCTGGTAACACCGAGGAATGGAGAACCACTAATTGCTGCTATTCAGGATTTTCTAACAGGTGTGTTGATGAATTTACTTGAAAGGAGACTGGAACACCAGGATTCTCATTCACAGTGAATCATGTCACAATTTAAAATGCCGTTTAATTTCCTGCACTTAATTCTGTTGTTTGTGTGCCAAGTGTGACCGTGAACTGACTTGAGAGATTTAGTATTGGCTGGTTATGCGTGGGATCAGTAAGCATGTGTTGAGCTTGTAAAGTACACTAGACATTTTTCTAAGCACTAGAGATATGGCAGTGAGGCAGAAAGGTCCCTCTCCTTGTGGACCTTCAATCCAGTGGGAGCAGGGAGCCAGCAAGCAGTTGTATGTTTTAAATCACTCTTAGTAATAGTCCAAATCCATTTTAAAATTGAAACCTTGTGATTCTCTCATAATTTCATTCCATTTCTTTGTTTTGTGTTGTTTCCAACATTCGTAGGTGCCTATCTCCTCACCCTTAAGGACACTTTCTTTGACCGTGCCAAGGCTTGCCAAATCATTGCTTCAATACTGGTTGGCAAGGATGAGAAAATTAAAGTTCATCTCCCACCCCCTACGATATTAAAGGTTTGTGTGGGAACTGGAGATGCTGGTGACAGATTAGCCCGTGAGCACTCTGCAGTCTTGAGACCAGGCTCAGCCAACTGATGTTGTTGCTTCCTTTGTCCTGTAGCCTGTCACCCTGTGGACGGGAAAGCAGATCTTCAGTGTCATCCTCAGACCTAGCGATGACAATCCAGTGAGGGCCAACCTCCGAACCAAGGGCAAGCAGTACTGTGGCAAAGGAGAAGATCTCTGTGTCAATGATTCCTGTGAGTTAAGACAGCAGAGTGGGAAGGGGCGGAAAACAGGTAGCCAGTGACCACCTTCACATATTCACATAGCAAGCAAATCCAAGGTTTCTCTTAGGAAGTTTATCCTTTGGGAAAATGTAGTTGATGTTTTTCCTCTCAGATGTGACTCTCCATTTCTCTAAAAGATAGAGATCGTGTAGATACGGGATCCAGGGATTAGAATGTTTTCCAGAGCTCTAGATGTGACTAGTTTCTGTAAATCAATGCAGTTTGTTTGTTTTTGCCATCAGCAAGGAATGTATTTAAGGAATATAATTTAATCACTTTACATCCCCAAATGTGTTCATGGCTTAAAAATATAACCAATAGGTCTGTTTACTGCCTCTCGAGTTCTTTATAACATGAAGATCAGGTGTAACCATGAATGAGAGAATTTAAATGTCACACCATCTGAGTCATCCAGACTAACTCAACCTAAAGTATGGTCCAGAGACCAATGCCATTCAGGCAGCATTTTGTTTGTGGCGTGAGCTCCTCTGCTCCCCCCAGACTACTAATAAGCAGTTCCCAGCAGGCTAGTCTCAACAGCATGGACTTGGAATGGGCTTTGCTAGCGAGGCCTTGTGACAAGAAATGGATCTCCAGGACTCTGCACTGAAGAACTGAACTGCAGAGTCTCTGAAGGCCAAGAAGATCAAGATTTCTGTTGTTCTGTCATGAGGAGTAAATGTTTTGAAGGGCACTGATTTATCTCAGGTTTCTGACCATTACTTTGAAAATACACTCTCTGGCTTTTTAAATGTTTTGGCTTCTTGTTTTAGATTGTATTTTGTTTCTACCTAGATGTGAATTTCATTTTGTTGTATAGGCTCTTCACAGTGACGTTAGTTTTCATTCTCTTGGATGAATAACAAAGTGCTTTACAGTTTATAGGGTACTTTGTTGAAAATGATTTCATCAGATGCTCAAAATATCCTCGTGACATAAAGATGACAAGTGGTTAATACTGTCATTCTCAGTTCACAGTTGAAAATGAGGGTCAAGTTGTACATTTTGGAGTTAGGATTGTAAGGTAACTAACTGCGCTTTTCATGCTTTTTAAAAGTCCCTAGATTTTTCTTTTTTCTCCTCAAACATTTTTTTTTTTTAAGATTTATTTATTCATGATAGACAGTGAGAGAGAGAGAGAGAGGCAGAGACACAGGCAGAGGGAGAAGCAGGCTCCATACCGGGAGCCCGACGCGGGACTTGATCCCGGGACTCCAGGATCACACCCTGGGCCAAAGGCAGGCGCCAAACCACTGGGCCACCCAGGAATCCCTCCTCAAACATTTTTAAGAGAATTTTTATTCACTCTGCTATAATTTTTTTTTTTATGATAGTCACAGAGAGAGAGAGAGGCAGAGACACAGGCAGAGGGAGAAGCAGGCTCCATGCACCGGGAGCCCGATGTGGGATTCGATCCCGGGTCTCCAGGATCGCGCCCTGGGCCAAAGGCAGGCGCCAAACCGCTGCGCCACCCAGGGATCCCCTCTGCTATAATTTTCAATATGAGAATGTGTTTTTCTCAACTGCCCTCACACTGGTTTTGGAACGAGGCTAAGTATTAAGTAATTGTTTAAGTGCATGGTCATCGTTATCCTTGCAGATGTTACTATCCAGAACAGTGAGTTGATGAGTGGCAGCATGGACAAGGGAACACTGGGGTCAGGATCCAAGAACAACATTTTTTACATTTTGCTGCGAGACTGGGGGCAGAACGAAGCGGCCGATGCAATGTCGCGGCTTGCCAGGCTGGCTCCTGTCTACCTCTGTGAGTATTTCTGCATCCTCGCTTTACTGTTGTACTTGCTGAGGTCTTAGGGGCTTTGTGCTGTTTTCTTCTTTCCCTTAAGCCCCCCACTCCCACACACCACACACATACCTGCACACGGGAAAGGAGACTTCTTCCAGGCTAAATCGTCTGTTCTTTGGTCCACGAAATTAGCTCAGTACTGACTGGTCCGGTTCAGATTTGAATTTGCTCTTGATTTCTTGTCTTACATGCACGGTAGCTCCCTCTTGGCCATCAGACAGGGTCATTAGACCAAGGGTCATTCACGGATTGCTTCCCAGGTGCCTGTGCTCTGGGTGCAGCCCTCTGGGCCCTCGAGACTCAGCTCTGCCAGGTCCCTCAAGTCTTTCCCCTCTCGCCTTGCACTGTTCTGTTCCCTTAGTTAGCTTGTGTTTGTGCATGCTCTAGGTCCAGGTTTTTACATGCACAAAAGCATTCGCATTCAACTCCTATACTTGATCGATTCTTTGGCTGGGTATGGAATTCTGGGTTGAATTTTATCTTTCCTCGGAATTTTGAAGGTCCTGCCCTACTCTAGCCTTCAAAGCTGCTGTCAAAGTGGATTTCTATTCTTATTTTCACATTGTTGTATCTATCTTTTCATTCTGGAAGCTTTGAGAATCCTCTGTTTTTGGTGTTCTGGAGGTTCACAGTGGTAGACCCTTAGTATTTTTCATTTATTGTGCTGGGAGCTCTCTTAATCTGCTGCCATGTGTCCTTCAGTTGTGGAAATTTTCTCATTTTTGGTTCAATTTGGTTTTGGGGTTTTTGTTGGTGGTTACTGGTAATTTTCTAACCTCAATTTTCTGTTCTTTATTCTTGGAATTCCTGTTCATTGTATAAGTAGATCTTGTAGATTGGCTCTCTAATTTCCTTATCTTCTTTTCCCTGTTGTCTCTTTGTTTGTTGATTCCTTTATCTTTTAAAGTAATTCTATTGATTTTTTTCTAACTATCATTTATTTAGCTTCTAACCATAGTCTCATTTATTTTTTTTTTTAATTTTATTTATTCATGAGAGACACACAGAGGCAGAGACATAGTCAAGGGAGAAGCAGGCTCCATACAGGGAGCCCGTCGTGGGACTTGATCCCTGGTCTCCAGGATCAGGCCCTGGGCTGAAGGCGGCGCTAAACCGCTGAGCCACCTGGGCTGCCCCTCCATTATTCTTACTTGCAGGTAGTTTTCTGCTTTTCTGGGTTGTTTTGTTTTGTTTCTCTCTCTCTCTCTCTTTTTTTTAAGGCTTCCTTTTCTAGATTTCCAGATATATCTTCTCTATCAGACACAATATTTTTCATAGTTTTAATTGCTCCCTGAATTTTCTCATTGGTTTCATTTTTCTATGCATTTGTTATCTTCAGTCTTTCAAGTTGAAGGCTTTCCTCAAATATCTGGTGGTCTCTGGCTATCCATTCTTACTTTTAGGAGTGAGACCCCAAACACTGATAGGAAGTAGAGCCTATTGGTTGACAGGCTTCTTTGTTCCTTGATTGAGCTTCAAGTCAACATTTTTATTGAGGAACTTGCCAAATATCCCTATCAGTAATGCTTTTTCTAGAGAAGCTTGGTTTCTCCAGGAACATATCTTCTAATCTCTGCTTCTCCTCCCAACCCCCAGTATTTGAGACCTGCTTGCTAGGATTCTGAGAGCTAGACAGGGAAAGGGGCTGAGGGATCACAGCCATGGAATATACTTTGCCTCATGCCCTGCTTTCCAGTCATCCCCATCTGCCTGCACCTAGTATCCCCAGTACAGGGCTCTCTAATTCCATTAGTAAACTGCCATCTCTCACAGGAAAATACTGATTTTCCACCAGGTTTCCTTATTCCCAACACACAAAGTATCTCCATCTCCAAGCATCTGCAGAAGCTTGTGGTACCATTTCTGAGCCTTTCCAGACTAGTGAGTCCTTATTTCCACAGCAAGTCTTAGGCATCCTTTCCTCACACTGCCAAGCTAGGTGTCTCTTGTCCACTCTCTTTCTACATATTAGGGATAGGATTATTGGTGGTATATAGTTCCCTCAGTGGTGTGGTTTTTCTGTGTTTTAAAATGATTTCTGAAGAGGGGAAAAGGTGTGGGCAGAAAGGTCTCTGAGATGGTGTCCTAGAACAAGAAGTCAGGTGACTCACTTTCTATTGCTTTCTCCGGCTGCTTTTCAGTATTATATTAATATCAGTCCACTTTATATTGTAGTTAATTGGAGCCATTACTTGCTCCCCACTGGGTTGTAAGGTCTCTGACCAGATTCAGTGAGTCTTGGTCATTTTTATATAATTAAATGGGGACTGACGTGATACATTATTATTTAAGTGGGTCATGACATGTTTTCTGAAGATGTAAACTTGTTTCCACAGAATAGGTTGACTAACACTCATGATCCTCTCTTTCTGTTCTACCTGCCAACTATTCTGCAGCAAACCGTGGATTCTCAATTGGGATTGGTGATGTCACACCTGGTCAAGGACTGCTCAAGGCCAAGTATGAGCTGCTGAATGCTGGCTATAAAAAATGTGATGAGTACATCGAAGCCCTAAACACAGGCAAGCTGCAACAGCAACCTGGTTGCACCGCTGAGGAGACTCTGGAGGTGAGTCGGGCCCTGTTGGTGGGTTAGCCACTTTGTATGCATGGGGTTGTGCTGCAAGCCTGAGGAGAAGGTAACAGAGGGGAGGGGGAAGTAAATGCAATGGCTTTAGCCCTAGGGGAGGATCTTCAATCAGATCCTTTACATCCCCAGTAGTTCTCATGTTCTAGGTAGCGAAACATGGCCACCTGTTCACTCGACCACATGGGGCTGCTCTTGTTCTGCCATCACACTTAGACCCTTCTGTAATGGGTACTCCAGCACTTCTGCCCTTTCTGTTTCTAGCATCTTTCAAGGATAGACCGGCAGCCACAGCTCTTTAAATGGATGATCTTTGATGGGACCCCTGGCTGGCTCAGTTGGTAGAACATACCACTCTTGATCACAGGGTTGTAGGTTCAAGCTCCACGTTGGATGTAGAGATTACTTTAAAATCTTCAAAAAACAAAACAAACATCAGCAGGTGGTCTTTGAAAGAAACTTGGACACAGAAGAGGGAAGATTCATGCCTGAGAGTCCCTTGCCTGTCCGCTGCCCCTGTCAGGTTTGAAACTAGGTCAGCTGAGAACTTGACCAGCAAGTGTCAGAATGGGAACGGCCACCAGCCTCTGTGAAGCCCTACGCTCTCTCTCAGCCTGGGTCAGCAGTCTGGTTGTACCAGGATCTTTCCTGGCTCTCTTCTGTCTTCCCTGCAGCCCCTGGCCCAGGGCTTTCACTTACCTAAGTGTGGAAGAAAAGCTTAGCAGTCAGAAGTTTTCTGATGAAAGGGCTTTTTGTGAACTAGAAAGAAAGCAGAGTTGTAAGCGCTATTCTTAGCTCATTCTTAATCTCACTGTGTCTTTTTTTTTTTTTTTTTTTTTTTTTTTTTTTTTATGATAGAGAGAGACAGAGGCAGAGACACAGGCAGAGGGAGAAGCAGGCTCCATGCACCGGGAGCCTGACGTGGGATTCGATCCCGGGTCTCCAGGATCGTGCCCTGGGCCAAAGGCAGGCGCCAAACCGCTGCGCCACCCAGGGATCCCTAGCATTTGTTTTTTTTTTTAATTTTTTAATTTATTTATGATAGGCACACAGTGAGAGAGAGAGAGAGGCAGAGACATAGGCAGAGGGAGAAGCAGGCTCCATGCACCGAGAGCCCGACGTGGGATTCGATCCCGGGTCTTCAGGATCGCGCCCTGGGCCAAAGGCAGGCGCTAAACCGCTGCACCACCCAGGGATCCCTAGCATTTGTTTTTTTTTTTAATTTTTTAATTTATTTATGATAGGCACACAGTGAGAGAGAGAGAGAGGCAGAGACATAGGCAGAGGGAGAAGCAGGCTCCATGCACCGAGAGCCCGACGTGGGATTCGATCCCGGGTCTTCAGGATCGCGCCCTGGGCCAAAGGCAGGCGCTAAACCGCTGCACCACCCAGGGATCCCCCCCTAGCATTTGGTTTTAATGGAACTGTGGCCCTTCACTGATTCAGCACCTTAAATTGTGAATTGAAAAAGGACAGTCTGTGGAAGAGCTCATGGACTAGAATATTCTTGTAGAGTCTCCTTATCACATGCTCAATTTATGGGAATTCATGTGTGTGCTTGAAAAGTGAAAAACAAGCGGTAAATGTTATATATAGTTCAAGCCATTCTGCTTTACCATGTGCTACACATTACCTTACTTCATGCGCGGATTTAGGCAGATGTTTGTGTATAAAGTGATACACGTACACACGTATTGTGGTATAGGGCGCTATATACAAAACCATTTGCATTCTATCTCGTGGGTCATTTATTTATTTATTTTTTCCTCATGGGTCATTTAAAGGATTTAAAAAATAAAGATGTTTCAAGGTTTTATTACTAATAAAACCTTTTTTTTTACCTTAAACACTGGTTTTAGAACCTTGTGGAAGATATGGGTCTTTATAGATAAGCCATATTGGTTTTCAGAAGCTCAAAAATCTGTCTTTTGGAAATCTGACATCTGGCTTAAATTTTTTCAAATTTCATTAAATGTCAGCTTAACCATGGATAAGCGGCAGAGTCCCCATGCACCTCCCTCCCCCCCCCCCCCCCCCCCCCCGCCACCTGTCCCCCAGGCTCTGATCCTGAAGGAGCTATCTGTGATAAGAGACCATGCTGGCAGCGCCTGCCTCCGGGAGCTGGATAAGAGCAACAGCCCGCTCACCATGGCTCTGTGCGGGTCCAAAGGTGAGTGCTTCTCTGGCTGTGCTGAGGGGGCTGGCCGGTTTTGTTCCAGGAAGTGGCAGGCATCAGAACTTCAGACCTGTCATTTATAAGAGCATATCTTTTTATTTTTTTAAAAAAGATTTATTTATTTATTCATTCAGAGAGAGCAAAGAGAGAGGCAGAGACATAGGCCGAGGGAGAAGCAGGCTCCATCCATGCAGGAAGCCTGATGTGGGACTGGATCCTGGGTCTCCAGGATCACACCCTGGGCTGTAGGCGGCGCTAAAGCCACCGGGGCTGCCTGAGCATATCTATTTAAATCACATGTATAGAAAAAGACTTATTTCCATTTTAGTAATTTAACTCCTTTGGAGGAATTTGCATAATATATGTGGATTTCTGAGCTCAGGGGTGCTTCAAGCAAACTTGGATCTCATTTTTTAAAAACTTTCTGAATTAATTAGTATATTTATTTAGTGATGTGGCAAAACAGTTTAATTTCATAGTTATTTAGGCACTAGGCTTCGTGGTACTGCTCTCAGATTCAGAACCTCCATGCTTCTCTCTCTGTAAATTTTTTTTGCCAAATAATGCCTAGGTTTGCTGCTTTTCCCCCTAATATTCTTCCTGCTCCTGGTATACATATATCCCCCCTCATTCCTGTGTCCTTCCTTCCCCCTCTTCCACTTACTTTGGAATTCCTCTCCAGCCCCTTTTATGTCCAAATCGGAGTGCCTTCCTAAAGGTCAGCCTGGTTGTGGGCTGCCCTGCCCTGTGGTATTTCCTCCACCCCCCCTCACCCCCCAAGTGCTGGCTCCCTGCTGAGCACCGCCAGCCCTCCTCCAGCCTTTGTTCTGTTATGGAGGGCCCTAGCCCGTGGTGTTCTCATTCTGGCCCTTCCTGTCCCTAGACTGTGAGCCTGCTATGTTGTGTTTCTGCTTTATCCTACAGACCTGCTCATACTTGGGTTAATGTTACTTTGGTTAATGAACATTACATTCCTGAACTGTTTCCCCAGGTTCTTTCATTAACATATCACAGATGATTGCCTGTGTGGGACAGCAGGCCATCAGTGGCTCTCGAGTGCCAGATGGCTTTGAAAACAGGTCGTTGCCTCACTTTGAGAAACACTCAAAGGTAAGTGTAGTGGCTCATACAGAACTTTGAAGGGCGACCAACGGCACTCGAGAGTGACCAGAGCCGGTGCCCCCAACTGAGCCGCTCCTAGAGGGGGTGTGTAAGGGCAGGGCTGCTCAGGGGTCTTCCCTCGTCATCCCAGACTGAGTCACGTAGGAGCCTTGGTAGACCTGCAGCTATAAAACTGGATCAGTGCCCACTTCTGAGTTTTCTCTCCAAGGAGGAAGATTTCAGGGTCCTAGCCACCTTACATTCAGTAATTAAAATGTAAGGTTATCTCATGCATGATCAATCTGTATGCTTATTTGGGGGGCACTGACATCAAAGTTTGGGGATTTAAAAATAATGATAAGAGAAACCACCCTAAAACCACCAAGAAATTCCAGATTCTCCTCTCAACTTCTCAAACTCAGTTGTTTTATTTGTTTGTTTGTTTGTTTGTAGGGTGGAGGGTGGAGGGAGCAGAGTGGGGGGGCACAGGGAGAGGGAGAATCTTAAGCAGGCTCTGCATGCAGCACAGAGCCTGATTCAGGGCTCGATCTCACAACCCTGAGATCATGATCTAGGCCGAAATCAAGAGGAAGACAATCAACTGAGCCACCCAGGTACCCCTCAAATTCAGTTTTTAAATGACCTCTGGGTTTCATTGGCTCTGGGGGCTTGAGCACTAGTGTAAGCAGAGACAGACAAAGATAGACACATCTGTGCTGGGCTTTCTCTGGAATTCAGGGGCAGACAACTGTTCTAGTTGAGGAACTTAAAGTAGGTTTGGTCACTCAGATTCTGGATTGGGAGTTCTTATTCCCATTAAAGCACAGATGCCCCAGCTGCCCCTGTCCCATAGCACTGCGGGGTTTCCGTCCAGCCCCTCCCAGGGAGACAGGACTGCTGTACTGAGAGTGAATAGGTACTCTCTGTATCCACACAGCCTCAGGAACATTTTACGGTCTCTGCCCAAGATCAGAATTCACTAGAAGTCAGACAGCCAAGTGGTCACTGGAATGGTGCCTGCCGTGCCTGTCAGGCTCACAGGTCTAAGGGAGCCTGACTGGTGGAGGGGAGAGGCTGGGGGCATCCAGACTTCTTGGTCCACTTGCCTGCTGCCACCACCAGCAACAGCCCTGACTGGGACCCCACCCTCCCTTGTCTCTGGGCAGGATAGCATATGCCAAGCTGTTCTCATTTAGGACAGGGCATGTAAAGTCTGCCCTTTCACTAGAGCACTTTGACCAGATATTTATAACCTAAAGGTGGGGCATTCTTTGATTTGAATGGGGTTTGAGGTTGTGGGCGTTAAAGGGGTTTCTTTTTTTGTCTGATTTTTCTCTTTTTTCCCCCACCCCTCTTTAGCTCCCAGCTGCCAAAGGCTTTGTGGCAAATAGCTTTTATTCCGGCTTGACACCAACAGAGTTTTTCTTCCACACAATGGCTGGCCGGGAAGGTCTCGTCGACACAGCTGTAAAGACAGCAGAAACAGGGTACATGCAGGTAATTGGAGAAAATGTAGGCCATTCACAACGGAGCAGGACAGGGTTCTGAGGATTTTGACTGCAGAGTGTTTACATATTTTGTACTTGAGCTGTAATGTATCGGGTCTTAGTATTTAAAAGGGAAAATTGAGAGAGGTGGGTGCCCTAGAAATAAGCAACATAAAAAGGTAACATGTTCGCTTCATCTCGTGTGCCTCGGGCCAGAACCACACACACCAAAGCTCTACTGAGAACATGGACTGGAAGTGCATTCAGGGACACGTCATTGAGCCTCACTGGGCCTCTGTGTCCTCATACATGAAGATGGGGATGACAGTACCTCCCAGTCACTGAGAGGACTCTGCTTCTCACTAGGCAACTCTTTGACCCATTATTAGTATAATTTTAACTGACACCAAGATATTACTCCAGTGCCCACAGGAGGGCTTGGCCACTTGGAGGAATGGCTCTTTCTCTATTGTTTGCACAGTTCCAGGATAATAGGCTCAGGGAGCCAGAATGAAACCAGAGGGCTTCCCAATGCCTATGTTTCTCCAACTGCCATAAAAATACCCCTAATGGCAGAGGAGTGAGAACACATCCTGACTTTGTTCTTCCATAAGACCACAAGCAAAGGATTTCTTTTCTTTCTCTATCATTTTCTACTGTTCTCTGTGTTTGTTTTTACATTTTTTCAATGTTTTTGTCTTGTAACACGAGGTGAAGTTAAATCTCACAATTGCTGGCCCATGCACTCACTGCAGCTTTGTGTCCCCTTTCTCCTCACTGGACCCCAGTTTGAAAAGCACAGCCCTTTGCAGACTGGGAGAGCAGGACTGATAAACCAGAGATGTGAGTGAGTGAGTGAGCCAGAACAAACAAGGTTAATGAGGGTGGGAGCGGACTTGAGTCCATAGACTGCAATTTCCATAATCTCTTCTGTACGTGTGTATTTTCATCGATACTTCTCTTTTCATTATCTTGGGATGGGAAATTGCCCTTCAGTTTTGGAGTGTGCTGCTTTTGTCAGAAACCCAACAGACTATGAAGTGCTTTTTACCACTCTTGCCAGAATGTCTTGACTTCATTTTTTTGACTTTACCTATTTGAAGTAGAGAGAGTGACTTTCCCAGAGCAGTGTGTTAACCTAGAACAAATTTGTTCAGGCATGAGGGATTTTTGTTTTGAAGTTGCCTAGAGGAAGATTTCTCTAATTCACTGAACCACCATTGCTGGCTGGAGTGTTCTGCTAGTGGAAGGTTCTCCCTAAGCAGATTTGAGAAATGACTGCTGCCTGCTGGTTCAGACACAATGCTGTCCCTGTTCTCTCTTCTTCCCCCTGTGTCCCAGAAGAGGGCCTGCACCTGATCCTCTGTAATTCATATTGAAGTCCACAGGGGTCCTGGATTAAGTTGTGTTTAGAAATGCAAAGCCATTGCATTAATTTATACCGTAGGGAGAAAGAGGGAAGGCAAAACAACCTAGGATAACAGCTAGTATTTGCAGAGTCCTTTGCGGGTCATGGGGCTTAAATAAATAGCATGTATTCTAAAATACACTAAAGTGTGTGGAAGGGGCGGTGGGCAGAGGGGGGTAGCTGGATGACAGGCACTGAGGAGGGCACTTGATGGGATGAGCACTGGGTGTTATATGTTGACAAATGGAATTTAAATTTTTTTTTAAATGTACTAAAGTGCAAGATGTTGGAACATATTCTAGATCCCCCTGCACAGGCTGTCCGGCCACTTTTGGGCTTGTTATTTTGTGTGTCAGGGGACTCTTTTTAAAGAAATTTCTAATAAAATGTTTTAATAGGCGAAAGTACCTTGGAAATACTTTGAATAGGTGTAATAACCTTGAATGTTAGCATTGCAGATCCCATCCTCTGCATATGACTAGTCTTCTCAAAGAGGCTGAGCATTTGTTTCCTCTCCTTCTTTTCCTTTAGAGAAGGCTTGTCAAGTCCCTTGAAGATCTTTGTTCACAGTATGACCTGACAGTCCGAAGCTCTACGGGTGATATTATCCAGTTCATTTATGGGGAGATGGCTTGGATCCTGCAGCAATGGAGGGAAAAGATGAACCATTAGAGTTCAAAAGAGTTCTGGACAACATCAAAGTAAGATTTAGTGTTATATCTGGGGTTAGAGTGTTTCTGAAGACGTGTGTTTAGAATGGAGGTGTCGGGATCCCTGGGTGGCGCAGCGGTTTGGCGCCTGCCTTTGGCCCAGGGCACGATCCTGGAGACCCGGGATCGAGTCCCACGTCGGGCTTCCGGTGCATGGAGCCTGCTTCTCCCTCTGCCTGTGTCTCTGCCCCTCTCTCTCTCTCTGTGACCATCATGAATAAATAAAAAATTAAAAAAAAATAGAATGGAGGTGTCCTTTGGAGCTTCAGACACAGTTAATGCCTCAGTTGTATCTACCTAGGCACTGGGTTAGTATTTTTCTTTTTGTGTTATTCTGTGTAATTTTCCCAAATATTAAAGGAAGGTATTTTTTCAGTTTCAAAGTCTAGCATTGGTAGTGACTGAATGCACAGAAGAGGGCTTTGGGTTTCTTTCTGTCTAGTGAAGCATGTTACAGTCCAGTGTTAAAAATCATGGGTATTGAAAAGCAAGCTTTACTTTAAACTTTTACTAAAGCACATACTTAACTAGGAGATATAATTTAGAACAACCTTTTCAGAAGGTAGCTTGACAATACTGATCTGAATTTAAATGTGTGTCTTTTGACCCGGTAGTTCCACTTACAGAAATTTGCATTACAGAAATTATCTAAATGTGCCAAAAATGTTTTTCCAGCATCATTTATAGTAAAGGCAAACCATCAGTAGAGATCAGATACATAGTGGTTTGTCCATATATTAGGGTAATATGTAGCCATTAAAACTTTGAGAAAAATCCCATGAGCTTGGGGGTGGGAGAGTATTTTCACTCCCGAAATGTTTGGGTGTTTTTAAAAACAACAATACAAGCTTTTAATGCAAATCTGGGGTGAGGTGAAGGCTGAGGAGTAATGGAACAATACCCGCTGTTCCACAAGTCTTTGTGTGAGATGAAGTGGGTTTATCATGTTTCCACTTCCATACTAAAGGTAGAATGTAAAAGACATTTTGAAAGAAAAAAAAATCACGGGTTGGTAAAAGCTTGCTCTTAGAAAAATGATTTTCTTATAAATTATTTCACTTGGTCGCTGCCATACACATCACACTGTCTGTTTTTGATACTCGAGGCAGTCTTCCCGTGTCAGAGCGAGCCTGCACTAAGTAAAAATGAACTGGTCCTGACCACTGAATCAATCATGAAGAAGACTGAGTTCCTCTGCTGCCAGGACAGCTTCCTGCAGGTGAGTTCTGCCCCTGGTGGGCACACCCAGCCTGGCCATCACCAAGAGATTGTTGCCAAATGCCAGCAGGTGGATTTTATGAGCAAGAGGTGGGAGAGAGAGGGTGTTATGGGTGTTTCTTCGTTAAAAATATCAGGACTGGCCCAGGCAAAATGTCACCAGCCAACATGAAGAATTTATGTCATGTCTTTCCCAGTATATGTCTCTCACCCAAGCGTCTCCCTGCTAGAATAAAAATAATTGCTTTAGAGAACTGAATTTTTTTTAACCTTGTCCCTATCAGCCCCTTTACCTACTTCCCCATCTCGAGGGACCAGTCCTTCCCACAGTCATTGTGAATCCTAGTGATTTTTTCTAGTGATGGTATTTTATTTGTAGTTTTAGTTTTTAAAGATTCTATTTGTAAGTAATCTCGACACCAACACAAGGCTCAAAACTCATAACCCAGAGATGAAGCGTCATGTGCACTACCCACAGAGCCAACCAGGCGCCCCTATCGGTGGTGCTTTAAATAGCTCTCCCTGTGATCATAGTGTGGATCGGAAGTTCATGGAGTCAGCCAGACCGCCTCCTCCTTCCAGGGAGCTGTTACCTTGATAGTCTCTGAAGGTTTTTTATTTTGTTGGTTTTTTGTTTTTTGAATTTTGCTGACCTACTCAAGCAGCTCTTTCCTGTTTATAATCGTGGTTATGATCAAAAGCAGAGAAATACAGAAACCAGTCAATGGTTGCCTTTGTGTACCAATCAGTGACTCAGTGCAGCACAAAATCGGCAGGAATCTGTCCCTTTCATATATCAAAAATGATCAAAAATGACAGCAGTAAAGTGAGACTTCAGTAAAAATGTTTTAGTTAAGGAAGCTCATGACTCTTTTCATAAGTTGAAGTATGAAAGGGGAAAGAGACTTTTCCGGATTTTATTAAGTTTAAAATCCACACTATGGGCTGAGTGCCTTTGTTTTGTTTTTACAGATTTTCTTACTCTTTTCTTTTTAAACAAATGAGAATTGTGATTTGGTTTTTATACATGATTATATTCACTTACTCACTTTTCTGTTTATCCTCAAAGACCTTAACTGAGACAGGCTATGAGAAATATAACGAGGTACCGCCCTGAGCATGCTGGGAATGCTGAGCATAGGGGTGAAGTGTGCAGCAGTCCGGCTGTTGGCCAGCCCCAGACTCCACAGGCTCTGTCCCACTTCTGGCACACGTGGCTTTCCCATTCGTCATTCTGGCTCCTTTCTTGCCTTTGACAGGGTTTAACGAGTACCCCCCTGACCAGCAGCGTGTGCTTCCTCAGCAAGTACTCCTTCTAGCCCTCAATACATGTCACACGCCCCATGGGTCCTGGGGACACAAAGATGATTAAATGTTTCCATGCCTTCCAGGGGCTCACAATCTAATGAACTCAGGTCCAAAATCCAGTGGCCAGAACAGATTTGTCTGAGCCCCTTCTGTGTTCTCCAGCTCCAGCCTGTGCCAGAGCCAAGGCCCGCCAGAGGCCACTGCCCATGCTCACAGATGTGCTGTGGACTGAGTGTGAGAACTTAACTGCTGGTTAACCGTGTGATTAATAGCCTGCCAGTTGCTATTTTGTGAGTTCTTTTTAGTATGCATGGGTTTATTCAACTGAATTCTTAGTAGCTTATTTCAGTTTTTATTTCTATACAGTGAGTTTGGTTTTTTTTTAACCTAGTTTTCAGAAAATCAGCCCTAACTTTTGTGTAGGGAAAGTTGTTCCTTTCAGCAAAGCCACTAGAAGCATGTCCATTAGGTTGGTAGCTAAATGACCTCATTTCCAGTGCCTGAGCTGGGGAATGGTTTTAGGTGCGTGGTCTTTGACTCTTGCCTGCGGAGTTCCTCAGATGAAAATCCCCTGGCTTCACACCACCAGAGGCTCTCACTCTGGTTGCGCTGGGCCAGCAGTGGGGCAGCCTTTCACAGCTGGCAGTCAGCAGCTGGCCCTGAAGGACACAACTGCAGCCAGACGAGTAGGCTGGGGGAGGAAATCACTCATGTGAAAGAGGCTCTTTGCACTGAATGATGCAGAGGGAAAATGAGGCAGCCGCAGGTACGAGTGCCTTTGAGCATTCCTGCTGTTGAGCAGAGCCGCGCCAGGAGAGATTGTTGCACTGCCTTCTGCGGTCTGGTTCCCACCTCTGGTTTGCAGTCACTGACTAAAAGTGTACTCTCAACCTCACAATCAGTAAGTAAACCGGAGAGCTTAGCTTCTCTTTGAGAAGAGTTTCTTGAAAACTTTTAAGATCTCGTAAATCAATAAAAAGTCCTTTCTGTGTAGATTGATGACTAAAGGGCATAGTACCCCTCACACGTATTCCACACTTTCTCAAGGAGAAGGAAGAGAGTTGGCCCACGAGCAGTCATCATGAGAGAGCCACGTTCATGCACAAGAGATAGCCAGAGTATGATGGACCTCGAGCAGCCCCTTGGTTATCTGGGCTCCAAGGAGACAGAAAGTGCCAGTGGGCGGCAAAGATGATATTGCATGAACCCCTGTCCAGGAGCAGTCCTCAGAGAAAACATCTGACTTCACGGAGAGGCCCATTGCCTTGGCCAAGCCCATGACCTCCCTGAGCCCCTCAGTGCCCACTGCTCTAGAGCAATGGGGTTAATGCCGCGCCTCCTCACAGAGAGGCCTCACTCTGCCAGGCAGCAGCTGACTGGGAAGGGCCCATGAGCCAGGGACCATGTGGATAATGCTAAGGCTATTTAAAATAAGAACATTAAATATTAGGGTTTTTTTGCTTTCAGAAAATACAGTAGCTAGAAATTGCTAGGTGGTCTGTGGGAGGCTAAAGAGACTTATTTTTGCAAGGTTAAGATAGAACTGGGCTCTCCTAAGTTTTAAGCTCTCTGGATGTCCATCAGATTTTACTTTTGCAAGAATGGGCTTCTGATTCCATCTGCTTTAAAATATTTGTTTCAAAAAAAAAATTGTTTCAGACAAAGCACATTTTCAGCTCTGTGATATAGACTGAGTAGACTTTGGGTAGGGGACATGTTGGTCTTCTTTTCAGGGTCTCTCAGCCTGCCTTGGAATCAAGAAACAGGACTTCGTGAAGCTTTACAGCCACCACAATATGCCCTTGGGCTGTCTGCGTATGTAGATCTGCCCTCAGCCAGCCACATAGGGCAGCTGGGTGCCTGTAGCGGCATTCAAGAGTGACAGTTAAGCTCACTGCCCCTGCTATTTGCCCAAAGTCAATGAGGAAAATTATATTCCCAGGATAGCGGTTGAGGTGAAGTGTGGTCTACTCACTCTTTCCCATATTCTCAAAAATAACCCTGGATCGAACTAGAGTGGCAGATTGCCAGCCCCTAGGCCTCTGTCACAGTGGCCTCCAAAGACCTGGTGTCACTGTATAGCGTGTGCCATCCACTCACCTGGAAGTACACTTAGAGTCAGTATCACAGCGCTTGACATGTGAGCCACTGGGAGCAAGGCTTTGATGGGCATAGCTCACTAAAGGCCATCACCCCTTCTGTGAGTTCTCCTTGAGTGCTGGTTAATCTGGTTCTAGATCCTGGTTCTAACGGGGCCCATAGGCCTGCTTTTAGGCAGAGATACGTCACAAATTATATAACAAATAGATTTTCCCCCTTTGAACAGTTGCCAGAAAACATAGGTCTGTGGCCTCCGACCTTGCCCTGTGCTTCCTCCACATGATGTCCTTGTCACCTTCCTTGCTACCATCCCGGGCTTAGAGTGCTACTCTGAAATACAGAGAGGACCACAGACACACACTGGTTTCTTCTTCCCAGCCTGGTTTCCAGGAATTCTTACGAATTGTTGGGAAGTGAAAGTGAGACCGGGGGGTTGGGGTGATGGCAGAGGTTGAGGGTCAGAGAGACAACAAGAAGCAGGGATTTGGGAGTGTCTTCTCTGAAATGAAGGCAAGCTGAAACCACGGGGTTTTTCTGTTAGTTTGTTTAGTTTTGTTTTTTAAGATTTATTTATTTATTCATGAGAGACACAGGCAGAGGGAGAAGCAGGCTTCCCGCAGGGAGCCCAGTATGGGACTCAATCCTGGGACTCTGGGATCACACCCGGAGCTGAAGGCAGACGCTCAACCACTGAGCCACCCAGGCATCCTGAAACCACACATTTGTATATATTCTGTACAAAGCTATGCTTTAGCTTGCACTTAAATTGACCATAACTTCAGAAGAAAGCCTCAAAGGTAAGCCCGTTTAGACGGCAGGTTTGTAAGTGTACAGTTGCAGCTGTTCCGAGCTGGGTGAATGCGGGTGTCAGGGGTGCTCAGAGAGCAGTGGAGAAAGCGGCTGTGTCGGGCTCCTGGCGGCACTCCTGCTGGCTGTGCAGGGGGCCACACGGAACGGGCAGGGCTGTCACCAGCCATCTCAAAACTGGCAGGCTCACCACATTCCCAAAGTTTGTGAAACAAACAGCCACCCACACCCCCAAGAAATACACAACTGATGTTTGCTGTGTAATCTTGCAGGAAATAAAAAATTTCGTTAAGGGCATTTCTGAGAAGATCAAGAAGACCAGAGATAAATACGGCATCAATGACAATGGCACAACAGAGGTAACGCTTGTCTTCCCCGACCGGCTCAGGTGCCCTCCTGGGCTCAGATACCTCGGCCTGACTCTGCACTTGGTTTCTGTCCCTCCAGCCCCGTGTGTTGTACCAGTTGGACCGGATCACCCCCACCCAAATCGAAAAGTTCCTGGAGACCTGCAGGGACAAGTACATGAGGTACAGATGCCAATTTTCTTAGACTGCCAGGCGGTCTCAGGGGGCTCCTGTCCTTCCCCTTCCCCACTGGAGTTCAGTCCTGCCCCAGCACCGCCAGCCACTGCCAGCATTTAAGCAGGGTCTTTCACCTCTGCTTAGGGCTCCAGTGGGGAGGCAGGCTGGAGGCTCCGGGATGTGGAAACAAGTGCGAGGACACTTCTGAGTTTCCTCCCCTCATGGAGTAACCACCAGTATATTTGGCCAGTGCCGGCTGCTCCGTCAGCAACATTTGTTAGCAGAGCTCTGGAGCGTCTCCAGGCAGTCGATGTTTAAGCCCAGACCACAAGTAGCGCATCAGTGTTTGTTGTTGGACCCGTCGACTATTGCGCCCCGTGGCCCGCGCCCCCCCCCCCCCCCCGTTTGCACCTCTGGCTGTTCTGTGCCAGGTTCTTCCTGTCACAAGCACAGCCTGCCTCAGAGCGTATTCCCTCTTGACTCTGATGACACCTGCGGTTTTTTTTTTTTTTGGCAAGGAGAGAACCAGCAGCCTCTTCCCGACAGTCTTGCAGAACTATTCTTCTGTATGCTTACCTTCTAGGGCGCAGATGGAGCCAGGTTCTGCGGTGGGCGCGCTGTGTGCCCAGAGCATTGGCGAGCCGGGCACCCAGATGACCCTGAAGACTTTCCACTTTGCAGGCGTGGCCTCCATGAACATCACCCTGGGCGTGCCCCGGATCAAAGAGATCATCAATGCTTCCAAGGCCATCAGGTGCCCGTCTCCATCTCCCTTTTGTTCCTGTGCCGCCTGTCGTGGGTTTCTCTTACGACGCGTACTCTGCTGGGCAGTCCTCTAAACTCTGGTGGCATGCTCGCCTTAAACAGATCTGGGGTTTTAAAGAGAAGTCAAAACTGGGTACCGTCAGAAGTGAGGCAGTGGTTCTTTATGGCTACAGGTAACATGAAAGAAACATAAAAACTGGAAAGGCCATATCAATACGTCTGCATAGATTTAAACTTCAGATGTTATCATTCCCAGCCGAAGCCTGACTGGAGAGTCTGTCATTTGGCCATAGTCTGTGACTCCCTAGTGATTTTGTGGTAGGGTTTGTAGGTCATCTGAGACTAGAAAAGATAAAAATACATTACAGTGCATTCTGTGACCTAATTGTGAACCACCTGTGATCTGAATCTGCCAGAGTGATTACATATAGCGTTCAATGAAGGAACATGGTGCTTGGATCTAGAGCAGCAACTGTAGGGATCCAGGGTGAAAGTCGTCTCCTTCACTGATGAGTGGGTTGCTTCATGAGTTCTAAATATAGTCTGGCTAAGAGTGTGTGCGAAGCCCCCAGTACGTGTGCTGGGAATGGCAGTCGCTATGCGCATTCGGATTCCAGTAGTGCCTGGACTTCCCCCAGCAGTGGCCTCCCAGCAGGCTCGGGGCTATAAGCACTGCCCCTGTCCTTTCTCAGCACTCCAATCATCACGGCACAGCTGGATAAGGATGACGACGCAGACTACGCCCGCCTCGTGAAGGGCAGAATTGAGAAAACCCTCTTGGGAGAGGTAAGGAGAAATCCTCTTGGTGACACGAACATTGGAGCAGCAGCTGTCAGGCACACGCTCGTACACGCCGGCTGTGGAGGGCTTACCGGGCAGCACGGCCATGTAGCCTGTGCTCTTTGGAAAGGCGAGAGCAACTGTGTAATATTCTGATCTTTTGACATGACAGATTTCGGAGTATATTGAAGAAGTATTTCTTCCAGATGATTGCTTTATCCTCGTCAAGCTCTCCCTGGAACGGATCAGACTTCTGAGACTAGAAGTGAGTCATGTAATTAAATGTGGGCAGGAGATCATCCTCTCTGAGTCCCAAGATGGTCACTGATAACCTGGGGCAGGAGCTAAGTGGGGCATGAGAAGCATTGCAGAGGCTTCACTGGGTTTCTGTTTTATAAGGGTCTGTCGTCGCTTCCCATTCTCTTTCTGAACCTGACCCTGACATACACACTCCCATCTAAAGACACAAGGAGGGGCACCTGGGTGGCTCAGTCTAAGTGGCTGCCTTCAGCTCAGGCCGTGATCCCAGGGTTCTGGGATCGAGTCCTGCATTGGGCTCCCTGCTCAGTGGGAAGTCTGCTTCTCCCTCTTCCTCTGTTCCTCCCCCTGCTTCTGCTTTCTCTTTCTCAAATAAATAAAATTTTAAAATAAAATAAATAAAGACACACAGGAAATTTGTTGTAGTTTTGTGAGGCCGTGATACCCGTTTGCTGTGACACAACATTAGAGGGTCTGGCAGGAGCATAGGGCCGCCTGTGTCTTGCTCATCTGTGAGCGCCCAGCATGAATGTTGTTGGCCAGGTGGACTAGTCTGGCTTAGTATTACTGGTATTCACAGACAGGTAAAGATTCAAAGATTGTCAGCCGTTGTCACAGACTAGCTGAGGCAAGGATGCAAACTGAGTAACTTCCTGGCATCTTCCTCTTCCTCTCAGGCAGTTGACACCCATCCTGGCCACATTGTGTCTCAGCCCATTCCCTCAAGTACCAAGCTTGTGTTGCCCATAGGCTGTGAGTCTAGAATTGAGCGGCCAGGTCTCCAGGTTGGGGGCTTCTGTAGCCCAGCTCTGGCCGCCTGCCTTGTGGCTCTTGTACCAGAAGGACCAGGTTGTATCAAGGAACGTGGCATATGAGCAGTTGGCGGTGAGGTCAGGTAAAGAGGAGGCTTCGCTTACACTTTAAATTGTCCTGCTCTCCAGCCTCCCCGCCTCCTGGAACGGCCTCGGCCCCTGCATGTGTAGCTATGCATGGAACATGCATTTTCAGTGGGGGCAGATCGTTGGGGTAAGGGGAGGTTGTGAAGAATATCTCTTCTGTTTGTAAGTGAGGTAGGTGTACATATGCGGTACATAAGCAAATACACAAAATATCTTCGTATTAAATTTTTATGGTGAGGAATGAGATTAGGGGGAAAAAATGAGGCTTGTCAGGGGGCAATGATGGAAAAAGGCCAAGAAACACTGGAATCAAAGCCTTTGTACCTGTCAGTAATGTCCTGGGCACGTGGCCCATGTCTGGCCACCTTGCAGGTGAACGCTGAGACGGTGCGGTATTCCATCTGCATGTCCAAGCTCCGTGTGAAGCCTGGCGATGTGGCTGTTCACGGCGAGGCTGTGGTGTGTGTCACCCCCAGAGAGAACAGCAAGAGCTCCATGTACTACGTGCTGCAGTTCCTGAAAGAGGATCTCCCCAAGGTGAGACCAAAGTCCCCTCTTGGAGCCCCACCCAGCCTACTGCCTGGAGGTTTGTAGAGGGAAAGGCTGCGTTTACCTCTCGCCCCACTGAATACCCAGGTGTCAGGTGGCCTAAGGACTATGTCACTACGGGGACTTCTGTTTTGCCACATCCCTCTGGAATCAGTCGGGTTTTTCCCATCTTCGCCCTGACGCACCAACTCTGCCTGTTAGATTCTTGTCCGTTCTGTTGGAAAACTGAGGTCGAATGTGTCACAGTCCCCTGATGTTGTGCTTTCTCCCTAATCCCTAATGGCACATGGACACTTATTTAGGTTTGGTTTGTTCCTGATAAACCCCACTGAGAAGCAGGATGGTTAAGGTGACAACCCAGGCATGACATTCCCAGTTCTCACAGCCCGTGTGGTTTCTGAGGCTACCATGGTGGTGGGGCTGTGGGCCCTGCAGGGCCTTGAGATTCCTCTGTCTCCAAGTCCAGGTGGTGGTGCAGGGCATCCCAGAGGTTTCCAGAGCTGTCATCCACATCGACGAGCAGAGCGGAAAGGAGAAGTACAAACTCCTGGTGGAGGGTGATAACCTGCGGGCCGTCATGGCCACCCACGGTGTGAAGGGCACCCGCACCACCTCCAATAATACCTATGAGGTACAGCTCATGGCCAGGGTCACGTCGCGATTGGGCAGAGGAGGACATAGGACTTGGGGCGACAAGCTGGAAGAGGCTGCTTCTACTCACCCTGGCTCTCTGTAGGTGGAGAAAACTTTGGGCATCGAAGCTGCCCGGACAACTATCATCAACGAAATCCAGTACACAATGGTCAACCACGGCATGAGCATTGACAGGAGGCATGTGATGCTGCTGTCTGACCTGATGACCTACAAGGTTCGTGGGGAGGGTGCAGCGTGCTGGGCCGTCTCCCACCTGCCTGGAGCACATACAGCTGTGATAACCACCACTAAAATGGCATAGGATGTCACCATCGCTCAAAAACTTTGATTTTTGACCACCCAGCATGTGGTCGGGTTGGGCCGGGTTTCTGGTGACATTCCAGTATGACACTTGTAACCTCATGGCAGGAGGTGGGATATTATTTTTGTCCTTATTAGAAATGTCATCCTAGAGGCAATCTGGCCATTGCCAAAAGCCCAGGGAGGTCCATGGCAAACCTAGGTGTGTATTTCCTATTGAACCCATTCGTCACGCTTCTGTAGCCATTTCCAGGTGAAGGATAAGTTACCGTGATCTGAAGGGGAAGCTAGCTGGGAAGTGAGGCTGCTCGTTCTCTTTTCCCACGAAACGAATCCATTCCCCGTAGTAGTGCCGTAAGGTTTTCACGAGGCCGCCCCATAGGCACCTGTACCTGAGGATGGACGGATCAGAACCGGGTGGGGCAGTGACCCGTTTCCTCTGCCCTGTAGTAAAGCCTGGCACTTTTAAGTCTGGCTTTCTGGTCTTAGTCTTTTCACATGTATCATGTGACGCAGCGACAATGAGTAGTGGGCATGCGGGTTTTATCCTGTTTCGTTTAACATTATGACTATTTCCTGTGTCACGTGGTTTTTATAAGAATACTTTTTCTTTTGTTTTGGTGTTTTTGTTTTTAAAAGATTTTATTTATTCATGAGAGAGGCAGAGGGAGAAGCAGGCTCCCTGCGGGGAGCCCAATGTGGGACTCAATCCCAGAACCCCGGGATCACGCCCTGAGCCAAAGTCCCCACACTCAACTGCTGAGCCACCCAGGCGTCCCATAGGTATACTTTTTTAAATGATGGTGCAGCGTTTGCTTGAAAGAAAGCACCTACATTTACTTAACTCTTTCCCTACTCTGAGGCTTTTAAATTATTTGAGTGTGGGGTTCTTGGAGCAGTAATAAACATCTGCAGAAGTATTCTCTTTTTTAAAACTTAGGTTCTTTATTCTAGCTCTGATTTTGTGACTCTTCCTTCTGCCAGCATGTGGCTGGGAGTGTGAGGCTCCCTGGAGCCGCTGTCCCAGGGGGATAGGCCGCTGTTGGGGTCCTCTCCAGACCTGAGGCTGACTTGAACAGCTGCTTCGCCCATCTGCGCTTATTCTGTGGAGGGGCTTCAGGGGGTGTGCATACCTCTGGGCCTCTGGGGAGTGTGAGTACCCCCCCTGACTCCTCCCTCCCCGATGCAGGGTGAAGTCCTGGGCATTACGAGGTTCGGCCTGGCCAAGATGAAGGAGAGCGTGCTCATGCTGGCCTCCTTTGAGAAGACGGCTGACCATCTCTTCGATGCTGCCTACTTTGGGCAGAAGGACTCCGTGTGTGGTAGGTTGCGTGTTTCTTGGAGCTTCACTACAAGGCCTTTGTGTTTCACAGCTGAGACCGTGGCTAGGGTTTCCCAGGAGGTGAGGACACTGAGTAGGCACAGCTCTTATATTTTAGGAATAAAGTCACAGATGATGGGATTGGAAGCAAGTGATCTTTTCCCTCCAGAGCCTGGCTGTGGCTCCCTGCACCCCCTCCTCCGTGAGGAGGCTTCTCTGTCAGTACAGGCAGCTTTGGGGCCACAAAGAAAAGATCACCCCTGGGCATCAAGGAGTGTTTCTGGACCTTGGAGTTGACAGCCGCTCGGATCCTGCCCCTGCTGTGTGGTGTCCCTCTGACAGCAGAGGGACAGCATCCAGTGCCCCTGCTGCTGTGACCCCCAAGAAAGAGCCGCCGGGCCCAGCACCGTGCATACACTTACCTCTGCACATCTGTAAGGGACAGGTTTAAACCCTTGCACGAGTAGAACACAGGACTGGCTGGCTTGTGGATGAGTTTCGCCCCACACCGGCCTCCTCCCCACAGCACACAGCACATCTGGGACACCGGCCTGGGAGACGAGTGGTGCCGCTGCCTGGCCAGCTCTTCCTTGGGTCCCAAGCTGAATGCCCACTGTCCTACCCTTTCTCATTGCAAGACCCTGTGGGCCTGAGGTGGGGGTCCATGGGGTGCTCAGCAGCCCATCCCAGGTCACATTCTCATCAGTCCCCAGTAGGGATTCCCAGCCTGATCGCCATCCCCACCACCAGAGCTCCGCTTCCTAGCGGCCATTTCCTGCCTCCTCCCCAAGTCTTACATGGACTTGACCAGCAGGCGGTGGTCAGGTGGAGCCCCCGTCAGGGCACGAACCTCCACTTTGTTCTAAGGTTCTAAGATTAACTATCCTTCCAGAAGGGACACAGGTTGCAAATAGAGGGAAAGAGAAATTGGTCTGCCACTTTTAAGATAATGAGGGTCAGAGGAAAGAAAAGGGAACAGATTAGAACAGGATAACAGGACAAGGCAAAAGTAAGAGTGAGTGTCCTTGACAGTGGGACCAACAGCCAGCCCCGCAGCCCCAGCCACTGCCCCCTGTGTCCACCACTGAGCTCCCTGGGGGCCTGGCACGGTCACCCCCACTCAGAAATCTTCTCGTCCTTTACAGTGTTGTTAACTCCGTGTCAGCCCTCGGTAGGTGTTGGTCTTTAGCTTGGTGCTTTGTCTCTGGTCTCCTGATGCACAAAGCCCAGAACGTAATAGGCAAGCTCTTGCTTATTGGGAGCCGTAAGTCTGATCCAAAGCTGGAGTGGAGTTGGGAGAAACAATCTTCCTCATCACCATACTCCGGTCTCTGTGCAGGGGCCTTGCCTTCCCTCAGGGCTGTGGGTTTCCAAGGCACAGGCGTGCTGTTAAGCCTGACCCAGCCTTGACCCCTGAGCACAGGGAACAAGTTTCTACTGCTGTTTCCAAGGGGGGGATTGGCCTCTACTAGTCAGCCTGTTTGCTTCTCTTCTGGGCCCTAAACTAAGGAAACATTGGGTAGTGAAGTTAGGGCTTCCTGAGCATCACTTGGTGTCCTTGCTGGCTGCGTTTAGTGCTCTTGAAGGCGAGCCTACAGAGCAGCTGTGCTCAGACCGAGAGGAAGCTGCTGGGCAGGGAGCCCCCCGTGTGTTGAAAAGCCATCTAATACCCTGCTTGGTTGGTTTCAGGGGTGTCTGAGTGCATCATCATGGGGATCCCCATGAACATTGGAACTGGGCTCTTCAAGCTGCTGCACAAGGCTGACAGGGACCCAAGCCCTCCCAGGAGACCCCTGATCTTCGACACAAATGAATTCCACATCCCTCTTGTCACATAGTCCAGGGAAGAGGAGACCATTCCTGACCTCGGCAGCTTGTCCCGTCTGGAAAGAGGCCGAGACTGACATCTTGTGCTCCCCACGACAAGGCCTGACATCCCCATTGTGCTGGCAGTCAGAGGAGGCCTCCGTGTCCTCAAGAGCAGCTCACCCAGGCCCCTGATCACACCACAGGGCCTGGTTGGGAGGACTGAGGTTTGTCTGTTTGAAATCCTAGCCCTATAAGGAGGCCCCGGCCAGGCATCTTTACTCATTCTCACCTCACCCTTCCAACCGTCTGCTTTCAGGAGGATCACACCATGACCCAGAGCCAGCTGTAAGCCCCAATACCAGGGCATATCCTTGGTTTTTCTGTTCCTCAGTCAGGTTAGAATCTCTAAACGCAGCCTACTCATGTAAATATTGTCACTGTTATTTATTTGTTCATTTTGAAGAATTTGGAGTTGTTATTATTTTGGCTTTACTTTGAAAGCAAGAAGCTATAGAAACCAAGAAAGCCAGCATTGAAGTATCACTGGAAAAACTGGTTAAGCAGATGCTACCGCCTAGGATTTGTAACCGAGCTGAAACCGTCACGAGCCCAAGCTGCTCTGAAACATCTTTTGCAGACACGTCTGGCCACCCCGTTGTTTTCTGTCTACCTCTGACCTCCACGTGGGGGACCCTGTCTTGTGACAAGAGGGGTCCCATTCTTCCTGGCCGATAGAAGCCTTGCTGGAGTTTGGAGCTCGCGGCAGGGGACTGGCAGTGTGCGTGGAGGTGATGGGTGAGGCTGGTCCAGGCCCCTGCACTGCCTGGGTGGTGACCACACGCCCCTGAGGTATCTGCAGGTGCTGAACTGTGGCCTAAAAAGTGCCCTGGGGGCAGTGGTGGGGTGGGGCCTTCCAGCACACAGGCAGCCAGCCACCAGTTGTAAGGGTTGAAAGGGCCATCAGGACAGGAAGGGAGGAGGCCCACAGGATGGAGAGTCCCCTGAAGCTGGCAGTGTGCCCGCTGGGGAATACCAGGCTCCTGAAAGAGTAGCTCTCCTATAACAGTCGAAAGCACCTATCAGGCTAGGAGGAGAGCCAGCAGGTATCCCAGGATGACCCACAGGGCATGTGATGGGGCTCTGTGCATCAGAGGAAGGAGATGTGCATAGCTCATCCTAGAGAGTGGAAGGAAGGGGTGTGCTGCTGGAGATTGTGATTCTTTGTACTGAATTTGCTCTGTAAGATTGGGCCTGGGTCATGGAGAACTGGTGTGGCTGCCCCCTGTACTCCCTTTGGAGAATGTTCCCTGAAGCCTGCCCCTCCCTTCCCGACCCAGGGCCAAGTCCCACCGCTCTGGCTCTTTCCTCTTCACCAGGGAGCCCTGGAGAACCAAGGCTTTTTAGTTGGGAATGAGATTATAGTGAAAGTGGGGTTTTGACCCTACTTTCTGGCTCCATGCACCTGAGAAGTGCTACTTCTGAAATGACATCACTGATTTCTCTCACCCAGTCCAGCCCCTGGGAGAAACATCAGCCCCAAATGAAGAGATGTGAGTTTATTGTCGAGGGAGAAGATGGTTTGGCTGATAAAGAGGAGGATGTGGGTGCTGGGGGGAGTAGGGAGGCACTCAAGTTGTAGTGCATAGAACCACCGTTTGATTCTTCCGACGTTCTCTAGCTGATTTCCAAAGTTCTGAGTTACAGCTGCTAAGATTCGTGTAACCGTTGGCCCTGGGGTCTGTGTTAGAATGAACACTTTCTCTCCCTTACTGCTGTGATTCTGAATTCAGAATTCCTGACCTCAGTCTTTGGCCATTCTCTGGTTTAAAATTCTATTAAAGTTAGTTTGGTCCTGTGATCTCCCTGCATACATGAGGTTGACTTAAAAACTTCTCTTAGGGTGAAAAAGTGTCATTTTTCACGTTACACCACCACCGCCGCCACCCAGTATATTTGAACTGAGCTAGCCTGGTTTGCAACCAAGGTTAAGCCTGTTAACAGACCTCTTCAGGGTTGCCACCTGGAACCTCACCACGGGCCTCACTTTTCTCCTACAACCTGCCGAGGACCAGAATGTCATAGCTGCCATCCTGAAAACATGCCGGGGAAGTAACTGCTAGAACACACACGAGAGCCGTGTGAGGGTGGGCTCCGACAGGGGGGAGCACCAGCGCCCACCTTCTTCTGTGTGACACATATTGGAAGTGGGGAGGAGAGCTGGTGTGCGCTGCTGAGAGTAATAAAGATGGTCCCGCCAGGAGCCTCATCCTGCTTGAGCGAGCCCAGGTGAGGTGGTGTGATTGTGCAGCGTGCAGGCACGGGGCACGTGTAGATCAGCGGGTGGCATTCTGGGAACAGAAGGGTCATGTGAAGGAGCGCACCACCCAGCCTGTGACCAGGTGTCCTGCTGGAAGGGTCCTCGTAGTGCTGGCAGCCCTGCTGGGACCATTGTGGGGGCAGCTTTGGCTGGTAGACCTTACTGTGTGTGCCGTCGGAGGGTATTAAAATGCCCGCCGCGCCCCCGCCCCAGGCCAGCCCGGGTGGCTCAGCAGTTTAGTGCTGCCTTCAGCCCAGGGCCTGGTCCTGGAGACCCAGGATCGAGTCCCGCGTTGGGCTCCCTGTGCATGGAGCCTGCTTCTTCCTCTGCCTGTGTCTCTGCTCCTCTCTCTGTGTCTCTCATGAATAAATAAATAAATTCTTTTAATAAAATGCCCCCCAGTGGGATAATCTGCCCTGGAATTGGGCTTTTTTTTTTTAGTTTTTTTAATATTTATTTTGTGGGCAGCCCAGGTTGCTCAGCGGTTTAGCGCCACCTTCAGCCCAGGGCCTGATCCTGGAGACCTGGGATCGAGTCCCATGTCGGGCTCCCTACGGGGAGCCTGCTTCTTCCTTTGCCTGTGTCTCCTCTGTCTCTCTCTGTGTTCCATGAATAAATAATAAAATATTTTAAAAATATATTATTTATTTTGAGAGTAAAGCATGAGCAGTGGGGAAGAGCAGAGGAGGAGGAAGCAGGGAGCCCAACGCCAGGCTCGATCCCAGGACCCCAGGATGATGACCTGACCCAAAGGCAGACACTTAACTGACTGAGCTGCCCAGGCGCCCCTGGCATCGGGCTTTGTGCAAACCCAGAACTGACACACGAGACACAGAGAGCAGTGTCTCCAGAGTAAGCTCAGTACAGGTTGGGACTTCACTCTGGGCCTGTTGGGGGAAGAAATAAGAAAAATACATATAAATTGTCTCATCCATTAGCAAATTTGTATTTCTGACCAGTGATCTCTCCAGTGCTTTGCCTTTTCTACATCTTTGTGTACAAGGAGATTAAAATAGCAATTGACACAGTTACAGCCCCTGCTTGTTCACTTTGGAGGGGGAGACGTTCTGGAGTCTCTCGGTGTCTGTGTTGGAGTCAGATCATGGCACTGTGTTTGTTTCAGGGTTTATCCATGTGTATTCACATTGGCTTATGCCTGATTGAATCTGAAACCATATAATGATTTTTCTTGAGTTTTTGCTGCCACTTGACAGAACTCTGCCTTTTTTATAGGAAAACTGAAAAGAGAACTTACTTTATATATAGGGGTAGCAGTTCATCCTTGTGGGTTGTGAAACAGGGCGGCTGGCGTACGTATGGGCTCTGACTGCTAAAATAATGTCCCCTGCCACCAGCCGGCCTGTTGGGCGCTGGAGGGTCAACAGTGAGTGCCCGCCCCACCCCTGCTGTGTAGCTGATGCAAACTCAGTGGGACACAGTGCAGTGTCTCCTAAGCCTGCGATAGAAGTGCCACCCAGCTAGTAGCATCCGGTGCCTTGCTTACCTGTTCTTCAGCTCATTCAGCTAATACGGGCCTGCTGTGTTCTGGGTACTAAAAGAGCAGGGAGAAAAGGCTAGGGAAAGGGACTGACTGACGGTTGGCAGTCGTGTGGCAGAGGTCCTGAACGTTTTAATTTGAGCCATAAAGTAAATGTGACCTTGTAAGCTGTGGGTAGTAAGACCAAGGTGGCTCAGCGTCTTTATAGAGGTGGATATTGGTGTATTTACTTATATGCGTTTATTAAATAATAAGGTGTCCATCCCATGGCTGGGCCTTTTTTCTCTTTAAAAGAGAGGTAACAGGTGCCTGGGTGGCTCAGCAGTTGAGTGTCTGTCTTCGGCTCAGGTTGTGAACCTGGGGTCCTGGGATGGAGTTCCACGTCGGGCCCCCCACAGGGAGCCTGCTTCTCCCTCTGCCTGTGTCTCTGCCTCTCTCTGTGTTCCTCATGAATAAATACATAAAATCTTTAAAAGCCAATACATACATACATAAAAGAGATTATGTAGCACTTGGGTGGCTCGGTCAGTCTGGCATCTGCCTTGCCTCAGGCTGTGATCCTCGAGCCCCGGGATCCAGCCTCGCAGCCAGCGGGTTCCCCGCTCCGCAGGGAGTCTGCTCCTCCCCCTGCCCCTCCCCATCTCCGCGCTGTCTCTCAGTCTTTAAAAAAATAAGAGAGGTTACCATTTAAAAGTTGTCCGTAAAGACTCTTAAGAACCTGGTTGTACAGAACATGGAAGACTTCTAACTCTGGGAAACGAACTAGGGGTGGTGGAAGGGAGGTGGGCGGGGGGTGGGGGTGTCTGGGTGACGGGCACTGAGGGAGGCGCTTGATGGGATGAGCACTGGGTGTTATTCTGTATGTTGACAAATTGAACACCAATAAAAAATAAATTTATTTAAAAAATAAAAAAAATAACCTGGTCATAAGGGTCACCTCCAGCAACAGACCCCACTCGAGGACAGGTGTTTCCCGGCCATGCGCGCTGAGCCTGATGTCGTCGTCCTGGGGGAATCGCCCAGCCCGACGGTGGCGAAGCCGCCTTCGGCCTCCAAGCGCTCAAGCACCGCGTCCCCAGGTAGCCGAGCCGGCGGCCCTTCAGCTGCACAAACCGGGTGTGCGGCGGCGAGGATGACCTACTGGGATGAGGTGACCACAGGGCCTCCTGCCCACACGGCCAGAAATGTCCGAGACTTTCTCTGCCTAAGAGAGGTGATCCCGGGGTCCTGGGATCGAGTCCTGTGTGGGTGCCTCGAGGCGGGCACGTTGCTCCCAGCCTCCCCTGGGCCGGCTCTGGGCCCGGCCTGCCCCCCCCCCTGCTGCCCAGCGGGAGAGCTCCCCGAGGCCTCCACCATGGGCTTCCCATCAGGGAAGCTAGAAGCCCCAAGCAGGACTCCATCCCAGGACCCCGGGGTCACGCCCTGAGCTGAAGGCAGATGCTCAACCACTGAGCCACCTGGAAGCCCTGGGGTTTCTTTTTGTTAATTCCTTGTTTTGACTGACAAAGGTCTGAATATCTACCCCCCACCCCAGCCCCTCAGAAGAAAGGCTGAGACCCTGACCCCTTCATTCCCACTTTTTTCCCTTTCTGGCAAATTTTAGGCCTGAGACTTTTTGTTTTGGCTTGGTGGTTGTGTTCTTGTTTGTTTTTATCTATTTTTGGCTTGGTTTTTTTGTTATTTAATAAACTGACATTTAAATTACGCATTCCTGTAGCAGGCTGTGCCGAATGCTTCTGGGCTGATGGAGAGTGTAACTGTCAAACACGCGTCCGATAACCCTGATTCTTGCTCACCAACCACCAGGCGCCGGGTATGAAGTGTGGACAAAATGTCCATGGCTCCTTACCCTGTGGACTTCATCGAGGCACAGCCCCGTCCAGCACAAATGTGCGTCCTTTTAAATTTTCTGGCATGCACACATTTTTTTTTAAAAATGGTAAACTTAATGTTAACAATGTTTTATTTAACTCAACACATCTGAAATGTGATCTCAGCATGTAATCAGTATAAGAATTATCAAAAAGATATTTTACATGCTTGACGTGGAGTATTCAAAATCCTGTGTATGTTTTATACTGCACGCCACGTCCCAGGTTCTGTGAGTGCAGTAGGCACATGTGGCCGGTGGCTGTCGCTGACATTGGAAAGCACAGGTTAGGGGGAGAGCGCGCTAACTAGGCCATCAGACCCGGTGCTGAGCCAGGGAAGAGCTAGGGTGGTGGAGAAGACTCTAGAGGCCGGCCTGGAGCGGGCATCAGAGGAGGGCACACCTGAGGACGGCCGGAGCAAGGGGTGCTCCGGGCAGAGGGACTGGGACACGGGGAGCCCCTGTGGAAGGGGCCACCAGAGGACACATCTCCCCAGACACCTCCAACTGCCATGGGAGCTAAGCCCAGGCTCAGGGAGCGTCTGGGGCTGGCAACCCGCCTCCCAACTCACCGTCCAAGGAACTTCCCCAGGAACACCTCGGGGGCTTGGACTGTCCAGGAGTCGTGTTCTGTGGCCCTGTCACCTGGCTCCAAATCCCAGACCTATTGAAAAGTGGAAAAAAAAAAAAAAGAAAAGTGGATGATCTGCACTCTGATCCCCACTAGGCAGAGGGAGCCTAGTGTAGACAGTCTGGCCTCCAGCAGCGCTTTGGCTTGTAGTAGGAGCTGCTGCGTAGGCCGCGTGCCTGCCGGCGCGCCTCCAGACTCCTGCAGGAGGGATCCTTGTCCGGGCAAGCCCGAGGTGAGGAGGGTCACGGCCCTGCCCCTTCCAGGCTGCCCCTTCCAGGCGGCTCCACCACCAAACAACAGGTCTGACCAACTCTCCACAAACAACTCAGGTTGCAGGGGCGCCGGGGGCTCAGCAGTTGAGCGCTGGCCTTCGGCTCAGGGTGCGACCCCCCCTGGGTCCTGGGATCGAGTCTCGCGTAGGGGTCCCCGCATAGAGCCTGCTTCTCCCTCTGCCCGCGTCTCTGCCTCTCTCTACAGGTCTCTCAGGAGTAAATAAAATCCTGAAAAAGAAAAAATCCGAGTCAGGCTGCATACCCTAGCCACCCGAGGCTGGCCTTAGGAATGCAATACACCAGACCCCCCCCCCCCCAACAGACTCCCTGCTCTGCCAGAGACCCCGCCAGCACCAGGGTTCGGGTTGCTGCTGGAGACCGCTGGTCCGGGGGAGGCGGCCGGCGCCCAGACTCAGGTGTCCACCCTGCCTGGCTGGAGCGTGCTGCCCGCTGTCGCTGTCCCCTTCCTAGCCCCAGGGCCAAGTCCGGCCTGCGTATCGTGGGGACTTCGCGGACCGTATCTCGCGTGGAACGGAAGCTCCGTGAGGGGGTGGTTGGCTTTGCTCCCATCACAGCCAGAGCCCCAGAGCCGCGGGGCGCACAGTGAACAGGATTCCCTCTCGGTTCCCTCTTGGTGTTCAGCAGCGGGGAGGGAGGCCCTCGGAGCCCATGGCAGCGAAGGGTGCCCTCCTGGCTGCCTCTGTTCAAGGACGGCGACTGCCCCCCCCCCCACTTCCCCAAAGCCTCCCCACCTTTGGGGCCCCTGGCGGCCCTAGAACCAGGGGCCCGGGCGGAGTGCCTCCCGCCTCCCGCCACCCCCCTCCCCTCCCGCTCCCGCCTGTAGGCCTGGGCCCCAAGCCCGGCCCCAAACGGGAGAGAGCCGGAGCCAAACACTTCCAGCATATACCACGGCGGGTGATTTATTTAAGGGTCTCCAGATAATCACTTAAGTGTCACCATAGCAACCTGAAGAGTTGCCATGGAGATCGGAGCAGGAAACGTCCCCATGGAGACCCCTGGGAGACTCTCTAGGAAATCATTACCAGGTGGATGGGGCTGGGGAAGGGGGAGCTGGACAAATGAGGGAGCCCCACGGTTCTGTGTGCCTGCAGGAGGAGGGGGTGAAAGGGCAGGGTGGGAAAGACCAGCCCGGAGAGGCAGGCAAGTTCATGATCGCCCACATCCTACCCGCGTGATGAACACCTTGGCCGTGTGCACGGGCCTATGCAAAGGGAAAGAGGGAACCTCAAAGCAGTAGTGGCCCCAAGAGGGGGAAGGGGGAGACTTATTTTTCATGCACGCTCCTCTGGGCACTGTTGGGCCTTCTTTTGTCATAGGTACGTAAATATCACATTCCATTTAAAATGTTCCAAAATTAGAATTCCTTACAGAGCATTTACTACATTAAATACTTACATCCTCAGGGCCCCCGGGTGGCTCATCGGTTGAGCGTCTGCCTTTGGCTCAGGTCATAATCCCAGGGTCCTGGGATCGAGTCCCACATCCGGCTCCCTGCATGGAGCTGCTTCTCCCTCTGCCTGTGTCTCTGCCTCTCTCTCTCTCTCTCTGTCTGTCATGAATAAATAAAATCTTAAAATATATATGACATTAGTATATTTAGAGATTTTGAAAATATAACACATTAGTAAAAGAACACAATACTATTAAATAAATATGTTGGACATATGTAGACATATATAGAGAGTAGATACATGTACACACGAAACTAAAACAAAAACACAATATTATTCTTTTTTCTTAAAAAAGGAGTATTCGGGGGCACCTGGGTGGATCAGTCAGTTAAGTGTTAGACTCTTGATTGCAGTTCAGGTCATGATCTCAGGACTCTGAGATCAAGCCCTGTATCAGCTCCACACTGGGTGTAGAGTCTGCTTGGGATTCATTCTCTCCCTCTCCTTTGGCCCCTCCCTGCCCCTCCCTGCCCAGCTCACACACTCTCTCTATATAAACAAACAAGTGAATAAATAAATAAATATATATAAAGGGAACCATTCAAAGGCAAAGGAACTCTTTTATTTTTATTTTTTTAAGATTTTATTTACTCACTTGAGAGAGCATAGGCAGGAGGACGGGAGGCACAGGGAGGGGGAGGCAGTGATTTTCAAGCAGGCCCCATACTCGGTATGGAGTCCCCATGGGGCTCGATCTCAGGACCCTGAGATCACAACCTGAACCAAAATCAAGACTCTGACATTTAACCGGAGGAGCCACTCAGGCACCCCAAAAGGAACTCTTAAAATTAAAGATATCATGCCTTGGGACGCCTAGGTGGCTCAGCGGTTGAGTGTCTGCCTTCGGTTCAGGGCGTGATCCCAGGATCCTGGATGGAGTCCCACATTGGGCTCCCTGCAGGGAGCCTGCTTTTCCCTCTGCCTATGTCTATGTCTCTGTCTCTCTCTCTCTCTATCATGAATAAATAAATAAAATCTTAAAAAAGAAAAAGGAATTTTTTAAAAAATTAAAATAAAATAAAAATAAAAATATCATGCTTTGCAATGAATCCTGTATTTTTTGCCAATTGGAGCAGGGCTGGATGAGAGTGTATGTAGAATTTTTCCTAATATATTAAAGCAGTCACTTTTTTTGTAAAAAAAAAAACAAAAAACAAAAAACAAAAAACAAAAATAAAACCTTTTTTAAATATGAGAAATAAAAACTTCAATAGGAGGTTTGGAAGATAAAGCTGAGGAAACCTCCCCCCAAAAGTAGTACAAAACCACAGATGTGGGAAATTGAAGGGAAGAGACAAGAAAATTAGAGGGCTAATCCAGGAGGCCCCCCTTCTGAATAACAGGAGTGCCAGAAAAACAAATACAGAGAAAATGAAGTGGAAGAAATGATCAAAAAGATGCTTGAAGGAATTTTTCCCAAAGTGAAGGATATGCATGTCCAGATTAAAAGGGCCCACCGAGGGACGCCTGGAAGGCTCAGTCCTGGAGCATGCAACTCTTGATCTTGGGGTTGTGGGTGTGAGCCCC